CAAATGTGGCTTCCCTTGGCGGACAACGATACATCTACATTGTTACCTCGCCCAGTGGATCAGTGTGGCCTAGGTTTTCTCCCTATAGGGAGTACACAACCAGTACTGGGCTAGGAGACACCACATGTGCTTCTGTGTGGATCAGAACCAAAAGCCGGGAAACAAACGTTTCTGAATGGGGTCACCCCAAAATATAACATCCGTGACAGACGTTGTGTAAGTGCATATTATTTGTTAGTCTGTCTCAGAGTCCCTAAACCGTATTATTCCCCCTTCCGACCAGGACCGCGTTTCACAAAGCTCTCGTAAGCCTAAGATCTCGTAACTATTCTCGTAGCATTCGTAGTCCCTATGTTACGGTATAGGAGGTACGAATACTACGAAAATAGTTACGAGATCTTAGGCTTACGAGAGCTTTGTGAAACAGGGTCCTGACCTCTAAAGCCTTAAATGAAGCAAGTCTAGATTTCCTCACGTTTTGAGCTCCTTTTCAATTCAAAACGGATTATTTGTTTCCATCAAGATTATATATATTCAGAGACTAAGGGTTGGTCTAAATATTTGTGAGTTGTGCGCTGTACCCAAAACCCCCCTGAACAGTTTGTGGTCACACAGTATCAAGTTGCTGAAATCGAACATGTACCTCAACATATTCCCAGGTACAACCAGAATCTATTAACCTGTGTTTGACTATAGGTCAGTCAGCTGACCCTGTTATTGTGGACATAAACCATCACAGAGGGCACATCAACTCATGCTCCACTCGTGAGCAGCGAACAACTTATAATATGTATATTGATATGAGAGAGAGAGAGAGAGAGAGAGAGAGAGAGAGAGAGAGAGAGAGAGAGAGAGAGAGAGAGAGAGAGAGAGAGAGAGAGAGAGAGAGAGAGAGAGAGACGCTCAGCAATATTCCACCTATATGGCGGCGGTCTGCAAGTGATCCAGACAACCCAGTGATCAGTAGCATGTGCATCGATGCATCGATCTTTATAATTGGGGTACAATGACGTGGCAACCAATGCAGCGGGTCTCTTACGACAAGAATGGGTTGCTGAAGACCAATTCTAACAAGCATCTTCACGGATGGATGGGTTTAGAGAGTGTTCACATAGGGAGAATCGGATGTGAGATTGAGGAGAATGAGGGTATGCAATGTACAAAACCAGGATAATTTGAGTGGGTATGGTTTTACGAAGCGGTTAGCAATATTCCAGCAATATCAGGGCGAGGGACATCAGAAATGGGCTTTACTCATTGTACCCTAGTCTCACAGTCCCTGAACCACATTAATTTCCCTACTGCCAAGCCCTCTCTGCAGTGCTAAAGCCCTAAATAAAGCAAGTCTAGATTTCCTCAGGTTTAGGCTGAATCTCTGGTCTCCCTAGGGCTCCTTTTCAATATAAATGGGCTTGTTTGTTACTATCAAAATTATATATATTCAGAGACTAAGTCTTAGTCTACTTGTACCCATGCATGTGGGGAATCGAAGACGGCTCTTCAGCATAATGAGTGAACGCTTTAACCACCAGGCTACCCTACCTCCCCTTGAAATGCAGGACAACATTTTTTTTAAAAAAAAAGACATAAAATCCTCACTCTGTTGTAAAGGAGGATCTAACGAACATCCCCTGACATATCGAAGTCAGTATGTCCAATGGAAGAGAAGAGATTGGGGCGAAGGCTGTATTTTTCACCCCTTAATAATGCAGTCATTTTTATTTTTATTATTTTTGTTTTAGAAAATGAAGTGTTTACTTTGTTGTATTTCAGACATGTAGAACATCATTTGTGAAAATGACATCGACGTGTTCCGAAGATTTGGAGAAGAATGGATTCTCAAGATTTATTGCTGACGGACACTGTTTATCGTTACGACGTTTACATAAAGACTTTGCAATTCGACACCTATGTGCACTAGGTCTCAGACACTACCTTGAACTTCGAACCTTTACCGATATTTTGAAACCTCGAGTCTATTTACAGCCAAATGTCATTGTCCGGGAGGTTTATATGTGTTGAAATATATACCCCAATAAAGTACCTTTACGTAAGCACCTCCAGGGCCGGACCCAGAGGGGGGTGCGCACCCTGAAGAGCATTTCCCCCTGACCTGTGGACTTCATGATGTGTGCCCCTCTTCTCCAAAATCCTTGATCCGCCCCTGACCTCTCACACATAACCACACCTGCCTGGGTCGTAGATACGTGAGCCTTGTGTTCAAAGTGAAAAGCGCGTAAGTGCTGAGGGTGGGTGGGGGGAAGTGGATGATGCTCATGCTATCTATCCACTGCTGGATAACTCGCCCAAGACTCGATTATTTACAGACTGGCATGATTACGTGGATATGTCGATTTTGCCGACAATAAAACAATGTTCATATCGTTTGTAGATTATCCAAGAAGTGAGTTTGCTTTGACAATGTGATGTGAGACATCGCTTATTTGCTTTGCAGAGTTAGCGTTCCAATGCTAAACACACCAGTATAATCATTACAGATTCCCGCCCTATTCCAAACTGAGTTCCGTCTCAATGATGTGGCCGTCATCACTGTACGGAGATTCATCCTTTAGATATGCCAGGATTCTTTGACCAAGGACATAGCAATCAGAGCACCATGTGGATTAGCATGGTAACCATTTTGGCTAATTTGGAATAAAGAATACGGAACAAGTAGCAAAATAACTGTTTATATACTCGGTGGACCAGTACAACGGCATAGCCCAGATGAAAACTTAATCTCTGTTAGTATATATTTTTTTTATAGAAACACATGTCTATAGATGAATAATGAGTCATCCTGCGATGTGAAATTCAGGAAAAGTTTGGCTTGTTTCTTTAGGGCTTTTGCAGTCAATACATAAAGTGATGGGCGGAAGGAAGTAATATGGATCAGCGACTGTGAAACAAATTGGAAATCAACATAATGAACATAACAGAGGGATGGCTTTGCAGTTTGGACGTGAAACACATTTTACAAGACATGGCTATTATATGGTGATACCTCTTCAAACATTCTACAACCTATAACTGCCAAATAGTATGATGGCCTTTTCGACGAACTGTTATATTTTCCCCATAAGCTCTAGTGACTCTTTTATATGTAGCGCTTTGAGCATGCTCTGGATGGACTATGGCGCACATGAAATAGCCATTTATTATTATCATGATCATGATGATGATGCAATAACATGTGGTGGCGCGTGGTCCTGTGCTCAATGCTCAGGTCACAAATCGGTGAAGTTAAGCAGCGTCGAGCTCGGAGAGTCCTTGGATGGGTGACCGTGTTTGGCAGCTTGACTCCTGAGAGTTTCTAGGACTTGAGTCCTGCCCCACAACGAAGCACATGTGACACATGTGGTCTCACCTTAGGCAAGTGAGTTTGTTCAAAATTGCCTCTGTTCACCCAGCAGGAAAATGGGTACCCGGTGGAAAAAAGTCATATGACTATAACCTTCTAGCGCCTAACAGGCAGCTTGTGTTATCCGGGGTAATAATGTGCTGTGCCTTGATTGATATGAGCATACCTAGTGTGGAGTTTGGCGCTATAAATGGACACATTATTATTATTATTATTAACACTGAAAATATTATTTACGTTGTGTCAGTAATATTCAAGCAGTCCAAGAAGAAATATGATGTATGGTAGTACGTAAACTCTACAATAAAACTCCTGTAACAGTATATATGTGCATGTGTTAGGTGACTAGGTCACGCGTTATGAGATTATGTACATAAATATTCTTCATTTTTATGCGTTCTATGCATAATGATATTCCATGAACGTAGACTATGCCAGTTGCCATGTTGCCCACGTACAGTTGGTTGACCAACACATATTGTGAATGACCAAGCTGGAAGGGTAAGTCGTACTGGTATGAATTGCGTGTTCATGAACTGCTTCCACGACCTGAAACCATACTCCTGGTACACTGGCACATTTCATTAGCTGTTATTGTTCTGGAATGGATAACTTTAGTTTGATATAATTAATAGCATGCGGTCATGTATTAACATATTAACATATAAAGTATATCTAACGCTCTTAACGTCGATTGCTTTTTGGTGTTTTCTATTTTGTTTTGTTTTGTTTTTATGTAGTGTAACACGTAGTAATTTAAGCGTATAGCGTGGCGGGGATATGTGCGTATGTGTGTATGTGTGCGCGTGCGTGCGTGTGTATACATGTGTTTCTTCATTTAAATGTACAATAGTTTCAATGGTAACAAAGTTTGTGTTTCCACTTTTTCCCAAGAAAGACCATCCATCTGGGACCGCACTGAGACATGGCTTTTTGAATACACACAACTGCGCGTTAGGCTACATCAGTAAACCACATTTTGTACCATATTGTGGTCAGGGACGGATACAGCTTTTGAGAAAGTGTGTGTGTGTGTGTGTTTGTGTGTCGGTATAACGTGCGTGCGTGCGTGCGTAAATCAGGAAGAAAGGAGGGTGCACACTTCATTTTCACGAGAGTTTCAATGGCCATTTAATTAACTTTCAAGACAAAAGGAGGGAGGGGGGAATCCCATCAGCCAGTCTTATTCGACTTAACCCCTGTTTGATAGGCAGTCTAGACGTTGTCGAATATATAAGAAACCTTTATATGACAAACCACTTCCAGTTTATAAAGTTTGGCGACGTTTTTACCTGGACTAAACTACGGTTCTAACGAACTCAAAGGGACCACTAATTTGAGATCGGTATAACCGTAGTGCACTAAATCATGAAGTCTAAAGGGGAAATGATCCTCAGGGACATTGTTTCGGGGGAGAAAGGGGGATGCGCACCCCGCCTCTGGATCCGCCCCATGACTACATATCAGTTGTGGCGCGGTCGGGTAGCCTAATTGTTAATGCGTCCTCTCATCACGCTGATGTGACAAATATTGCTCGTTTGTTGCTAAAAGCGACGTAAACCATACTCACTAGATCACCCACATACCAGGTGTATTGCTGGAAAAAATCAAGACGATGTAACAAGCCTTATTTTTACAGCTTCAGTTTGACCTAGATCGGAACAGTTTAACACATCTCCCCCAGCCCGGAAAGTGTCGACTGACTGATTCCATTCAAATTCATAACGCAAAACCTGTACCTGCATATAGCAAGACTACAACTCAAATCAACAGATGGTTCAGAAAGAAAGAAACATCACGTGACAATCAAAGTGCTATGTGGATTATATTCCTGGACTGGATACTCTTGCACTGATATATACAAGTATATGCATGATCTTGGCGCATTTGGGGCGAGGGATTGGATGAGAGAACTTAGAGAAAATCTATGACCAAGTTGCCTCCCTTGATTGTCTATAATTTGACAAGTGCAGTGTCGTAAGTTCATTGCCGACACAATGGATCCAATAGCAGAAGTTAAGATGTACGAGGACTCCGGCGACCTTCTGCCGCTAATGGTTGGAGGCCCCGGGCCCGACACGCTCCAAAACTGCAAAGAAATATTCACGAAGGCCACCGCCTCGGTGTTGGTGAGTGTTTTTTCTAACAATAAATACTAACTGTTAATTCAGCTTGCTATCGTTAGTCTCCGTGTGAGCTTATTTCAATAATTTGTCCACGCTGTTGAGTTTGGTATTGTGGGTGCAGAACGAGGAGAGTGTTTTACTATCTTTGCAGGCGCACTATTATCTATTATCTGTCCGGACTATCTCACACACGAATGCACGAACGCGCACACAAATGTAAAACCCCATTTCGCCTCACCTCATCATTGTCAAAAACACACAGCACAAGTCAGCATTTGGCAAACTAAAAAACTGTTCATTCCACTATAGTGACTATAGTGTGTCATGTGATCACTTGGTGAGACTATAGTGTAATATGTGATCACTTGGTGTCACTACAATGTAACATGTGATCACTTGGTGTGACTATAGTGTGTCATGTGATCACTTGGTGTGACTATAGTGTAACATGTGATCACTTGGTGTGACTATAGTGTAACATGTGATCACTTGGTGTGACTATAGTGTGTCATGTGATCACTTACTACGATGTAACATGTGATCACTTGTGTGACTATAGTGTGTCATGTGATGTGATCACTTGGTGTGACTATCACTTCGGTGTGTCATGTGATCACTATTGATGTGACTGATGTGATATAGTGTAACATGTGATCACTTGGTGTGACTATAGTGTGTCATGTGATCACTTGGTGTGACTATAGTGTGTCATGTGATCACTTGGTGTGACTATAGTGTAACATGTGATCACTTGGTGTGACTATAGTGTAACATGTGATCACTTGGTGTGACTATAGTGTAACATGTGATCACTTGGTGTGACTATAGTGTGTCATGTGATCACTTGGTGTGACTATAGTGTAACATGTGATCACTTGGTGTGACTATAGTGTAACATGTGATCACTTGGTGTGACTATAGTGTAACATGTGATCACTTGGTGTGACTATAGTGTAACATGTGATCACTTGGTGTGACTATAGTGTAACATGTGATCACTTGGTGTGACTATAGTGTAACATGTGATCACTTGGTGTGACTATAGTGTGTCATGTGATCACTTGATGTGACTATAGTGTAACATGTGATCACTTGGTGTGACTATAGTGTGTCATGTGATCACTTGGTGTGACTATAGTGTGTCATGTGATCACTTCATGTGTGACTATAGTGTGTGATCTGACTATAGTGTCATGTGATCACTTGTGTCAGGTATCCAGTGATCACTATAGTGACTATAGTGCGTCATGTGATCACTTGATGTGACTATAGTGTAACATGTGATCACTTGGTGTGACTATAGTGTGTCATGTGATCACTCTTATGTCACTATAGTGTGTGATCACTTGATGTCACTATAGTGTGTCATCTGACTATAGTGTGTCATGTGATCACTTGGTGTCACTATAGTGTTACATGTGATCACTTGCTGTGACTATTGTGTAACATGTGATCACTTGGTGTCACTATAGTGTGTCATGTGATCACTTGGTGTTACTACAGTGTAACATGTGATCACTTGGTGTGACAATAGTGTAACATGTGATCACTTGGTGTCACTATAGTGTGTCCTGTGATCAGTTGGTGTGACTATAGTGTGTCATGTGATCACTTCATGTGACTATAGTGTGTCAGGTGTCCACTTGATCTGACTATAGTGTCATGTGATCACTTCATGTGACTATAGTGTGTCAGGTGTCCACGTGATCTGACTATGGTGTGTCAGGTGTCCACTTGGTCTGACTATAGTGTGTCAGGTGTCCACGTGATGTTACTATGGTGTGTCAGGTATTCACTTGATGTGACTTTAGTGTGTCAGGTGTTCATTTCATCTCACTATAGTGTCAGGTGTCCACTTGATCTGACTATAGTGAGTCATGCGATCACTTGATGTCACTATAGTGTGTCAGGTGTCCACTTGATCTGACTATAGTGTGTCATGTGATCACTTGATGTCACTATAGTGTGTCAGGTGTCCACTTGATCTGACTATAGTGTGTCATGTGATCACTTGATGTCACTATAGTGTGTCAGGGATCCACTTGATCTGAGTATAGTGTGTCAGGTGTCCTCGTGGTTGACTATCGTGTGTCATGTGATCACTTGATCTGACTATAGAGTGTCATGTGATCACTTCATGTGTCATGTGATCACTGTCCTGATCTGACTATAGTGTCAGGTGTGATCACTTGATCTGACTATAGTGTGTCAGGTGATCACTTGATCTGACTATATGTGTCATGTGATCACTTGTCATAGTGTGTGATCACTTGATCTGACTATAGTGTGTCAGGTGTTCACTTGATCTGACTATAGTGTGTCATGGGATCACTAGATCTGACTTTAGTGTCATGTGTTCACTTCATGTGACTATAGTGTGTCATGGGATCACTTGATCTGACTATAGTGTGTCGTGTGTTCACTTGATTGTGACTATAGTGTGGGATCGTGTGTCCACTTGATCTGACTATAGTGTGTCATGTGATCACTTGATGTCACTATAGTGTGTCAGGTGTCCACTTCATCGGACTATAGTGTGTCAGGTGTTCACTTTATCTGACAATAGTGTCAGGTGTCCACTTGGTCTGATTATAGTGTCAGGTGTCCACTTGATCTGACTATAGCGTCAGGTGTCCACATGATCTGAATGGGTGGATTGTTATTGAGTGAGTGAGTAGATCTTGAATGAGTGAGTGGGTTGAAAGTGAATGAGTGAGTGTATGGGTATTGAGTGAGTAAGTGGATCTTGAATGAATGATTGGGTGGATCATGAATGAGTGAGCGGATCGATATTGAATGAGTGAGTGTTTGGATATTGAATGAGTGAGTGTGTGGGTATTGAATGAGTGAGTGGGTGGATCATGAATAAGTGAGAGGGTGGATATTAAATGAATAAGTTGGAGGGTAGTGAGTGAGTGAGTATTGGTAAAGAACGTATGAATGGGGATTGTTGAGTGAGTGAGTGGACCTTGAATGAGTGATTGTGTGGGTATTGAATGAGTGAGAGTGTGGGTATTGAATAAGTGAGTGGGTGGGTATTGAATGAGTGAGTGGGTGGATCATGAATGAGTGAGAGGGTGGATATTAAATGAGTAGGTGGGAGGGTAGTGAGTGAGTGAGTATTGGTAAAGAACGTATGAATGGGGATTGTTGAGTGCGTGAATGGACCTTGAATGAGTGAGTGGGTGGGCATTGAGTGAGTGAATGAGTGGGTGGGTGGGTATTTAATGAGTGACAGAGTGTATGTAGTGAGTAAGTGGTGGACAGGGCGGTAGGGTTTTTGAGTGAGTGGATTAAGTGACTTTGAAGGTCATTTTAAAGTTGTTGAAAGAACAACCTCATTCTTGCGGAATACAGGAAACAGAGACTGACCCGACACAGGCATTCCGATATGCAGATGAACAAGGTGACCAGGAGTACCGAGATCAACTCGCCAAGTTCCTCTCCAATGAGTACAAAGATATTGTTACCAGGTAAAGTCACCTCACTCTACTGCCCAATGATAACAAAAATAGTGCCAATAGCTGATGACAACTAACTCCCATCTCAGGTCTTCAAAGATACTATCAAAAGTTAAGGCTATCCAACTCTACTGTCTGCAAAGTTATGTCCCGCACCAAGAGCCAGTGATCCTTTGGGACCTGAATGAAATGGGGGATTCCTTGGTGCCCAAACATTTGTTATCCCTGAGTGTTAACTCCAGGCCTCGATTTCTCGAAACAAACTTAAGTTTCGACTTAAGTTAGATGTTTTACTCAAATTTGAGAAAACACAGGAAAGTGCATTTCCCAGAATGAACTGAATTGATATTAAACTCAAACTTAGTAGACAATTTGAGTTTGGTGGCTAGATTACTTAAGTTGTTTTGGGCTTTTATATTAAGTTTGTTTCGAGAAATCGGGCCCAGAACTCCTAAGTGATATACTATAACTGTCTTGAAGTCTGTGAGATATAAGGTATCTTTAATCTGGCCACCATTATTTATACATTCTGCAACACATTATCATTCAGTTGACCACGGCGTGTAACCTACCTGATTGTGTATTGTTGGTCATACCACTACTAGATGTATTGTGTATTTTGTTGTCAAGGTAACCTATCTGATCGTGTATTGTTGGTCATACCACTACTAGATGTATTGTGTATTGTGTTGTCAAGGTAACCTACCTGATCGTGTATTGTTGGTCATACCACTACTAGATGTATTGTGTAGTGTGTTGTCAAGGTTACCTACCTGATCGTGTATTGTTGGTCATACCACTACTAGATGTATTGTGTAGTGTGTTGTCAAGGTAACCTACCTGATCGTGTATTGTTGGTCATACCATTACTAGATGTATTGTGTTGTCAAGGTAACCTACCTGATCATGTATTGTTGGTCATACCATTACTAGATGTATTGTGTATTGTGTTGTTAGCTCGGAGCTGATGGTGACAGCAGGGGCAACCCAGGGCCTCCATTTCTTGGCATCACTGTTGTTCCATAAACACAAAGTGGCATTTGTAGAGGATCCGACGTACTATGCTGCACACACAATGCTGCGGTATGACCTCGAGATGAAGGTAGTTCCTGGTGAGTCTTGGAACATGTAGTGATTTGTGTATCAAACAAAACAAAACAAAATTCTAGACGCATCTACAATGATATTTCAATGTAACCTGAGGGAATGCATTTGGTCTATCAAATAAGAAGGTCAAAAGTCAAAGGTCAAGGTCATCAGAAAAAATAGCTCTTCTGGTTATGTTTTCACAGAAGTATAAACTTGATTCTACTGAGTCAACTCCAAAGGCACAGCCAGGTCAGGGTAGTTGAAACGTTACGTAGGCGAAGTAGTGAGTATGTACTACATACATTTGTGCCATTATCTTTGACATGGTTTCATGAATTCATTAACTGGATTTATCTTATTGAAATTAACTAATGCTAAACTCAAAGTCAGTTCATGTTGGAAATTGTAGAAATGTTAAAGTTTCTGATTCTTGACAGTTTTCATCTGCACTGTAATAGAATTATAAACATGGTGAGTAGTTATTTCTGATCTTATAGTTAAGTTGGTGTATGAGGTTTCTGTCTTGGCACAGTGCCAACGGATGCAGATGGAATCGATACCAATGTTCTTGACAAGCTATTGTCTGAACATCGTCCAAAGTCCTTTACTGTTACGCCGGAGCAGCCATTTTGGGCAATGATCTATGTCATCCCAGTCTTCAACAACCCAGCAGGACAGTGCTACTCAAAAGGTGGGTTATATCCAACAGGGGGAGTTATATCCTACAGGGTAGAGTATATCCTTTGTGGTAGGTTATATCCAATAGGGTGAATTATATGCTACACTCCTTTGTGATATATCCTTTGTGGTTGATAATATCCAACAGTCTAGGTTATATCCTACAGGGTGGAGTATATCCTTTGTGGTTGGTTATATCCTACCGGGTGGAATATATCCTTTGATGTTGGATACATCCAACAGTGTGAGTTATATCCTACAGGGTGGAGTATATCCTTTATGGTGGGTTATATCAAACAGGATGGGTTATATCCTGCAGTGTTAAGTATATCGTTCGTGGTAGGTTGTATCCAATGGGGGGACTTATATCCTACAGTCTGGAGTATATCCTTTGTGGCAGGTTATGTCAAACAGAGTGAGTTAAATCCTACAGGGTGGAGTATATCTTTTGTGGGAGGTTATATCCAATAGTGTGACTTATATCCTACACTCTTTTGTGATATATCCTTTGTGGTGGGTTATATCCAACGATGTGAGCCAGTGAAGTATATCCTTTGTGGTGGGTTATATAGAAACAGTGTGAATTACATCCTACAGGGTGGAGTATATGTTATGTCCAACAGGATGTATTTTATGCAATGTGACTTGCTATGCTCTGTTTCAGAGAGGTGTGGTGAGATGGTGTGTGACTTGCTATGCTCTGTTTCAGAGAGGTGTGGTGAGATGGTGTGTGACTTGCTCTGCACTGTTTCAGAGAGGTGTGGTGAGATGGTGTGTGACTTGCTCTGTTCTGTTTCAGAGAGGTGTGGTGAGATGGTGTGTGACTAGCTCTGTTCTGTTTCAGAGAGGTGTGGTGAGATGGTGTGTGACTTGCTCTGCTCTGTTTCAGAGAGGTGTGGTGAGATGGTGTGTGACTTGCTCTGCTCTGTTTCAGAGAGGTGTGGTGAGATGGTGTGTGACTTGCTATGCTCTGTTTCAGAGAGGTGTGGTGAGATGGTGTGTGACTTGCTCTGCTCCGTTTCAGATGTGTGGTGAGCTGGTGTGTGACTTGCTCTGCACTGTTTCAGAGAGGTGTGGTGAGATGGTGTGTGACTTGCTCTGCACTGTTTCAGATGTGTGGTGAGATGGTGTGTGACTTGCTCTGCACTGTTTCAGAGAGGTGTGGTGAGATGGTGTGTGACTTGCTCTGTTCTGTTTCAGAGAGGTGTGGTGAGATGGTGTGTGACTAGCTCTGTTCTGTTTCAGAGAGGTGTGGTGAGATGGTGTGTGACTTGCTCTGCTCTGTTTCAGAGAGGTGTGGTGAGATGGTGTGTGACTTGCTCTGCTCTGTTTCAGAGAGGTGTGGTGAGATGGTGTGTGACTTGCTATGCTCTGTTTCAGAGAGGTGTGGTGAGATGGTGTGTGACTTGCTATGCTCTGTTTCAGAGAGGTGTGGTGAGATGGTGTGTGACAAGCTCTTTTCTGTTTCAGAGAGGTGGGGTGAGATGGTGTGTGACTTGCTCTGCTCTGTTTCAGATGTGTGGTGAGCTGGTGTGTGACTTGCTCTGCTCTGTTTCAGAGAGGTGTTGTGACTTGGTGCGTCATGCCAGACAGCATGATATACTGGTTGTTGCTGAGGACATATACAATTTAGTATACTACGGGGAAAACATTCCCAAACGTCTCCTGGCTTATGATAACAAGTATGTATCAGAAACTGGAACAAAATAGCAGTTGAGAAATGTGATTATCAATGCAAATTCTGATTTCTCAGAGGACAATATCCATCATATCTCTATAGCTGGACTGACCATGATATCCAAAGGCAAGTAAAGTGTGATATTTTCTCAGTCCTTGTGGTACATTTTTAAACATTTTAAAATTCTGGTTACCAAATGTTGATGCTCAAGCTATGATGAATTGCTGAAGATCATACTATGGCAATCAAAACCTGACGATCAAAACATAATTAAATTCTGGTGATCAAACAAATGATCAATGTGTCAATCAAAACATGGTGATCAAACTCATGATTAAAACAGGGTGATCAAATATTGATCATTGATAACACAATTATGGTGATCAAACAATAATGATCAAACTGTCGATCAAACAATATTAAGTAAACTCTGACGTTTTACAGACAGATGATGAATGGCCATGTTTCTGCTGTAGATCACACCCTGACTACATGGGCAATGTTGTCTCCAACTGCACATTTTCCAAGATTCTGGCTCCTGGGCTCCGCCTTGGGTGGCTGGAGGCTCCAGAGAGGGTCCTTTGTGTGTTGAAGAAAAGGTAAACACTTCCCAATGCACAGTGATAAAAATGTACATGTAATATATAAAATGGTGTCATGGGGGGAGTGGGCTGGGGAAAGCCGTGCTCTAGAAACCACAACTGTCTCTGCAAAAGGTTCAATACAAGTTATTATTATTATACCTATCCAGGCAACTAGTTTAAGTACATGCTCAAGGTGCTGATATTTTTTTCCCCTCGATCACTGGATGTCAATCTTAACGGCACATCGTATTATCAATCTTAACTCCCTGGGGATCATGCAACTCTTGCAGCCCCTAGGCGCACCGAGTTATGGCGGCTTTCTCATCCTTACGAGGTACCCATTCACAGCTGGGTGGACTGGGACACAAAGTCACAGTACTTTGTGCAAGTTGTTTAGCTTTATGCCGTATTCCAGCAATATCACTGCAGGTTATACCAGAAATGGGCTTCACACATAGTGTTCATGTGGGGAATCGAACCCAGGTCTTAGGCGTGGTAAGCAAATGCCTTAACCACTAAGCTACATCACCGCCAAACAAGTTGTTGGAAAGGAGGCAGGGCGTGATTCACGTTGTACTTTTTATATATTCCAGCCATATAAGGTTTTGCTTGCAGTGTCTTAATACTGTCTCTGAGTCTGTTCATATCCAATAAGTTTCAGTGTAGAAGAGGGGCTTTCCAATAAGTTTTAGTGTAGAAGAGGGGCTTTCCAATAAGTTTCGGTGTAGAAGAGGGGCTTTCCAATAAGTTTTGGTGTAGAAGAGGGGCTTTCCAATAAGTTTTGGTGTAGAAGAGGGGCTTTCCAATAAGTTTCGGTGTAGAAGAGGGGCTTTCCAATAAGTTTTGGTGTAGAAGAAGGGCTTTCCAATAAGTTTCGGTGTAGAAGAGGGGCTTTCCAATAAGTTTTAGTGTAGAAGAGGGGCTTTCCAATAAGTTTCGGTGTAGAAGAGGGGCTTTCCAATAAGTTTTAGTGTAGAAGAGGGGCTTTCCAATACGTTTTGGTGTAGAAGAAGGGCTTTCCAATAAGTTTCGGTGTAGAAGAGGGGCTTTCCAATAAGTTTCGGTGTAGAAGAGGGGCTTTCCAATAAGTTTCAGTGTAGAAGAGGGGCTTTCCAATAAGTTTCAGTGTAGAAGCAGGGCTTTCCAATAAGTTTCAGTATTTTGTTGCAGTAATGTGTCGTGGAGTGCAGGCAGTCTGAACCACTACGCCTCCAAGTTAGCAGCAGCCGCCTTGAAACTGGGCTTACAGCAGAAACATGTGCAGACAGTCAGACAGATCTACAAGGTAGACACTCATTAAGATACTCAGACAGATCTACAAGGTAGACACTCATTAAGATACTCAGACAGATCTACAAGGTAGACACTCATTCAGATACGCAGACAGATCTCAGAGAGTCAGACACTCAGGCATATCTACAAGGTATATCTATCAGACAGATCTCAGAGAGTCAGACACTCAGACAGATCTCAGAGAGTCAGACACTCAGGCAGATCTACAAGGTAGACACTCACAGTCAGATACTCAGACAGACACTCTCAGACAGTCTGAGTCTGACACTGATATAGATTTACAAGGTAGATACTCAGACAGATATCAGAGAGTTAGACACTCAGGTAGATCTACAAGGTAGATACTCAGAGAGGTAGACACTCAGTCAGATACTCAGACAGATATCAGAGAGTCAGACACTCATATAGATTTACAAGGTAGATACCCAGAGAGTGAAACACTCAGACAGATTTACAAGGTTAATACTCGGAGAGTAGATACTTAGAGAATTAGATCCTCAGACATTCAGACAGTTCTACAAAGTAGACGATCAGACAGATTTACAAGATAGATACCCAGAGTCAGCCCCTAAGACGCCCAGACAGATCTCAGAGAGTCAGACACTCAGAAAGATTTACAAGGTAGATACTCAGAGCGTCAGACACTCAGAAAGATACTCAGACCAGATAGATTCTACAAGTAGACACTCAGACACTCAGACAGATTTACAAGGTACATACTCAGAGAGTCAGACACTCAGACAGATTCACAAGGTAGATACTCAGAGAGTCAGACACTCAGAAAGATTTACAAGGTCCGAGTAGCTACTTAGAGATTTAGACCCTCAGACATTCAGACAGATCTACAAAGTAGACAATCAGAGAGATCTACAAGGTTTACACTCATACACTCAGACCTGCAAGGTGGATCAGTTATTTTCAGTGCAGTATCCTACATTTTGAATGAAATAATGATAAAATACCCTACTCAAAGGGGTTAAAGAACACCTAGAACTATAGTTCATAGGTCTTTGAACACAATACGGGTACCTCTTAGTTGTTGGTCTTCTCCAACTTTAGTTTTTTGTAGTATTTTATTTCAGCCTTTTTCAGGAAAAGAAGTCATGAATGAGCATTTATTTAAAATTGTATGAGTCATGATAACTACTTTCCACCATTGTAGAACAGGATGACGTTTATGTGTGAGACTCTCCGGAAAGGCCTGCCACCTGGTGCCACGTTTACACAACCACAGGTTAGTGACATTCTAGCGGTCCATACACGTTAATGTTTAACTCAGTTTCTGATATTGATCGTGGTATTTACTTTTATTTACACACAAATACATCAAGGAACATTTTGTGATGTTTCAACAATTCCATTCAGAAATTAGTATGGTCAAGTAGTCAGTGTGTTCACCTGACTTCAGCTTGGTTGTATGTTATATTCCCTGTGTTAATACCATCTGTAGGGGCGATAGGTAGCCTAATGGTTAAAGCGTTCACTCATCATTCTGAAGACCCGGGATCGATTTTCCACATGGGTACAATGTGTGAAGTCCACTTCTGGTGTCCCGCACCGTGATATTGCTGGAATATTGCTAAAAGCGGCTTAAAACTAAACTCACTAATACCATCTGTAAACTCTCTGGTCCTAGAGGCATTATTGGATTTCTATGTAGATTCAGGCTTCCCAGGTCAAAAACTCCGATCTGTAACAGAAATACAATTTTTTTATGAAAATGTAAAAAATACAATATATAGCCTATATTTGAAGAGGATCTGCAAAAAATATATAGTCTTGATTTGGTTCTTTAGGCCAGACCAATTTTATTTCTTGTTTTACGGATCCGCCTGTCATATTCTTTCAAGAATAAGAAAAAAAATAATAATTAATTTTCCCCACTCAAAAAATAACATCATAATGTTTTCATTGGCCAAAAATGTAATCATACAAGAAATTTTGTTTTCAGATTGTTTTTTGCCCCATATTCACTTCATAAATTGCCAAAAGTAACATACTTTGAGTATTTAGAAGGAATATTACTTTGACTGGTGACAAAAATCCGTAAAACAAGAAATGAAATCGGTCTGGCCTCAGTTAATGGTGAAAATGGACAAGCGGTGTTCATTTGGTAGATAATTGCTAAAATAATGTACAGAACAAGGGAGGGACTCTATTAGACACTATACCCATGAAGATCAGGGTTAGAATTGGTCTTCAGCAACCCATGCTTGTCTTAAGAGGCGACTAACTTGATTGGGTGGTCAGGCTTGCTGACTTGGTTGACACATCATTGTATCCCAATTGCTTTGATTGATGCTCATGTTGTTGATCACTGGATTGTCTGGTCAAGATTTGATTCTTTATATAGACCATCGCCATATATATAGTGAGTACATAGATGACAGTTTCCTTCATGATGACTGAAATGACTGGTCCCTGACCTGTTATACTGTGTGGTAGGGAGGCTTCTTTGTGTGGGTGAAATTACCGGAAGCTGTTGATGCACTGCACCTGCTGAGGATGGCCGCAAAAAAGTACAAGATCAGTTTTCTTCCAGGATTTTGGTGCGTATGTTTTACTTTGTTTATTGTAAGGGATGTTCAGTTCTTTTGGAATGTAAAAATATATTTCTGCATGATTTTCCACAACTATATTTATTGTCATTTATTTTCACGGTTTAGACTCAACTTATTTCAATTGATCTTTGTTTTGCACCAGACTTCTTCCACATTGGGGCGATGGGGTAGCCTAGTGGTTAAAGTGTTCACTGGTCATGCTGAAGTAAGTGAGTGAGTATAGTTTTCACCACTTTTAGCAATTTTCTAGCAATATCACGGCGGGGGACACCAGAAATGGGCTTCACACATTGTACCCATGTGGGGAATCGAACCCAGGTCTTCAGCGTGACGAGCGAACGCTTTAATCACTAGGCTACCCCACCTCTCACGCTGAAGGCCCGGGTTCGATTCTCCACATGGGTACAATGTGTGAAGCCCATTTCTGGTGTCCTCTGCCGTGATATTGCTGGAATATTGCTAAAAGCGGCGTAAAACTAAACTCACTCACTCACTTTTCCACATTGAGATGCTAGATGTATGGAGAAAGAGGTCATGTGGTACCCACAAGTATAAATTGCACATTATTAACCTCCAAAAATATATATAAGAAAGTATGTCACTCCCTATGCAGTCAGTACAGAAACAGCTCACAAGAAACAAGAATATTATTTATCTGTCCTTAAGACAGAACCTTCATTAACTGACATGCACTCAACCATGTCCCTAAGTCTGATCTGATCCATTTGATCACTTATTAAGTGAGGTGAGGTGAAATTGGGATTAACCTCGTGCTTGAGAATATTTCGCTCATATGATGACGTGCATGCGTCTGTTTGTGTATGTGCGGCTGCTTGTACTAGCCCAGACTGAAGCTGGTTTTATAGTGCTAGCCCACTGAGATACCATGCCGCATTGAAGCATGAATACCCCACTCAGACACATTATACTGACTCGAACCGACCAGTCCTTGTTGTACCCATTAATGCCGAGCGCCAGGCAGGGACCAACAAGTACCATATTTTAACGTCTTTTGGTTTGACGTGGTCGGGGATCGAACCCGCGACCTTCCGCTCTCCGGGCGGACGCTCTAACCACTACACCACAGAGGCGGTCTCACTTATTAAGACCAGCATTGGGTCTACAATGCTTACCAGGACTTGTGATTAAAGTCAATATTTGACATAAATAAAATACATGGTGGTATAAACAGGTGTCAGTAATACTGTGTTAGAAGTTTGGTTTGATCTAATTATTCGTACGTCTTCATTAGGGCTGTCAGCATTCATCAATGTATTGATGCATTGTGAACTGAACTTGACAAAATGTGACACCCTTGTAACCCATTCCTTGTAGTTTAACCAATGTAACCTGATCCTTGTAGTTTAACCAATGTAAACTGATCCTTGTAGTTTAACCAATGTAACCTGTTCCTTGTAGTTTAACCAATGTAACCTGATCCTTGTAGTCTAACCAATGTAACCTGTCCCTTGTAGTCTAACCAATGTAACCTGTCCCTTGTAGTTTAACCAATGTAACCTGTTCCTTGTAGTTTAACCAATGTAACCTGTTCCTTGTAGTTTAACCAATGTATCCTGTTCCTTGTAGTTTAACCAATGTAACCTGATCCTTGTAGTTTAACCAATGTAAACTGATCCTTGTAGTTTAACCAATGTAACCTGTTCCTTGTAGTTTAACCAATGTAACCTGATCCTTGTAGTCTAACCAATGTAACCTGTCCCTTGTAGTCTAACCAATGTAACCTGTCCCTTGTAGTTTAACCAATGTAACCTGTTCCTTGTAGTTTAACCAATGTAACCTGTTCCTTGTAGTTTAACCAATGTATCCTGTTCCTTGTAGTTTAACCAATGTAACCTGATCCTTGTAGTTTAACCAATGTAACGTGACCCTTGTAGTTTAACCAATGTAACGTGACCCTTGTAGTTTAACCAATGTAACCTGATCCTTGTAGTTTAACCAATGTAACCTGTCCCTTGTATTTTAACCAATGTAACCTGATCCTTGTAGTCTAACCAATGTAACCTGATCCTTGTAGTTTAACCAATGTAACCCATTCCTTGTAGTTTAACCAATGTAACCTGTCCCTTGTATTTTAACCAATGTAACCTGTTCCTTGTAGTCTAACCAATGTAAACTGATCCTTGCAGTTTAACCAATGTAACCTGATCCTTGTAGTTTAACCAATGTAAACTGATCCTTGTAGTTTAACCAATGTAACCTGATCCTTGTAGTTTAACCAATGTAACCTGTCCCTTGTATTTTAACCAATGTAACCTGTTCCTTGTAGTCTAACCAATGTAAACTGATCCTTGTAGTTTAATCAATGTAACCTGATCCTTGTAATCTAACCAATGTGAACTGATCCTTGTAGTCTAACCAATGTAAACTGATCCTTGTATTTTAACCAATGTAACCTGTTCCTTGTAGTCTAACCAATGTAAACTGATCATTGTAGTTTAACCAATGTAACCTGATCCTTGTAGTTTAACCAATGTAACATGTTCCTTGTAGTCTAATCAATGTAACCTGTCCCTTGTAGTCTAACCAATGTAACCTGTTCCTTGTAGTTTAACCAATGTAACCTGTTCCTTGTAGTTTAACCAATGTATCCTGTTCCTTGTAGTTTAACCAATGTAACCTGATCCTTGTAGTCTAACCAATGTAACGTGACCCTTGTAGTTTAACCAATGTAACCTGATCCTTGTAGTTTAACCAATGTAACCTGTCCCTTGTAGATCTAACCAATGTAACCTGATCCTTGTAGTTTAACCAATGTATCCTGTTCCTTGTAGTTTAACCAATGTAACCTTATCCTTGTAGTTTAACCAATGTAACGTGACCCTTGTAGTTTAACCAATGTAACCTGATCCTTGTTGTTTAACCAATGTAACCTGTTCCTTGTAGTTTAACCAATGTAACCCATTCCTTGTAGTTTAACCAATGTAACCCATTCCTTGTAGTTTAACCAATGTAACCTGTTCCTTGTAGTTTAACCAATGTAACCTGTCCTTTGTAGTTTAACCAATGTAACCCATTCCCTTGTAGCCCTTTAACCAATGTAACCTGTGTAGTCCTTGTAGTTTAACCAATGTAACCTGATCCTTGTAGTCTAACCAATGTAAACTGATCCTTGTAGTTTAACCAATGTAACCTGATCCTTGTAGTTTAACCAATGTAACCTGATCCTTGTAGTTTAACCAATGTAACCTGTTCCTTGTAGTTTAACCAATGTAACCTGTTTAACCAATGTAAATCCTTGTAGTTTAACCAATGTAACCTGTTCCTTGTAGTTTAACCAATGTAACCTGATCCTTGTAGTTTAACCTGATCCTTGTAGTTTAACCAATGTAACCTGATCCTTGTAGTTTAACCAATGTAACCTGATCCTTGTAGTTTAACCAATGTAACCTGATCCTTGTAGTTTAACCAATGTAACCTGATCCTTGTAGTTTAACCAATGTAACCTGATCCTTGTAGTTTAACCAATGTAACCTGAACCTTGTAGTTTAACCAATGTAACCTGATCCTTGTAGTTTAACCAATGTAACCTGTCCCTTGTAGTCTAACCAATGTAACCTGTTCCTTGTAGTTTAACCAATGTAATCTGATCCTTGCAGTTTAACCTATGTAACCTGTCCATTGTAGTTTAACCTATGTAACCTGTCCTTGTAGTTTAACCAATGTAACCTGTCCCTTTTAGTTTAACCAATGTAACCTGATCCTTGTAGTTTAACCAATGTAACCTGATCCTTGTAGTTTAACCAATGTAACCTGATCCTTGTAGTTTAACCAATGTAACCTGTTCCTTGTAGTTTAACCAATGTAACCTGTTCCTTGTAGTTTAATCAATGTAACCTGTTCCTTGTAGTTTAACCAATGTAACCTGATGCTTGTAGTTTAACCAATGTATCCTGTTCCTTGTAGTTTCACCAATGTAACGTGATTCTTGTAGTTTAACCAATGTAACCTGTTCCTTGTAGTTTAACCAATGTAACCTGTTCCTTGTAGTTTAACCAATGTAACCTGATCCTTGTAGTTTAACCAATGTAACCTGTCCCTTGTAGTTTAACCAATGTAACCTGTTCCTTGTAGTTTAACCAATGTTACCTGTTCCTTGTAGTTTAACCAATGTAACCTGTCCCTTGTAGTTTAACCAATGTAACCTGATCCTTGTAGTTTAACCAATGTAACCTGTTCCTTGTAGTTTAACCAATGTAACCTGTTCCTTGTAGTTTAACCAATGTAACCTTCTCATTGCTGCTTTACATTTGTATACTACTTCTTGTTCTGTTATAGGGAAGCATTTTCTTTTAGTGTGGTGTTAAATAAATCCTTTGTGTTTCAGTACCTCTCCCAGTGGTGGTTACAAGAATTACGTGAGACTGTCCATCAGCTTCTGCAACCAGGCCACCTTGTCCAAGGGACTCGATGCTTTCTGTTCTGCTCTCCGTGACTTCATCCCTGGAGATACAGAATAAGCCAAGCAATCTGGCCAACTATCATACCTATTCAACAAGCCACAGTTACCTCTAGGTCTGTGCTGTATAAACATCACAATATTGTGAAACAAACACATGATAATTATATAGTCCTTGTTGACAGAGAATGGTTATATGAATGAATATTCAGAAAAAATAACTTATTGTATTAGGGGTGGGACGGGATAGCCCGATACCCGGGACGGGTGGGCAATGAGTTGGACCCGGGTTCCCGTCTCAATACCCGGAACCATTATGATCCTGTGACTATGATTCAACAATGTAATATGTTATTCTTTCATGATTAAAAGGTTGTATTGTCTTTGAAGATTTAGACATAATTTACAGTCACTTCTTTTGAATATAATACATGGTTAAGGTATTGAAAAACTCAAAATTGTAGCCTCCAAGCTGAAGAAAATATTGTCATTTCTTGCAAATTCGATGTCAGGAATTAACATAACGGGTATCCGGGTAGGGTAGGGTAATAGGGGATGGTGTACCTGGGTGAAAAATTTGGACCCGTCCCAGCCCCATATTGTATACTTATAGCCAGGGTGAGTGAGTATGATTTTACATCATTTTTAGCACTATACCAGCAATATTAGGGCTGGGAAGACAGAATCGAGCATATCACATTATATCCATGTGGGGAATCAAACCTTGGTTCCAGGTGTGACAATACAATCCTTACACCACAAGACAACAGCAAGAGTAACCGCAATAGTTAGGACAAGGTTGACATTTGTGCAATTTTTCCCATACAGGTGCACATATATGAAGCTATTTCAGGAATATGCAATCTTCTGTGGAACGGATCAGCAATTACCTGTGTTACCTGGCAACTTGCACAACCTTATCAAAGGCAGCATGTTTGGAGTGAGTGAGTTAATATTTAACGTCACATCAGCAATACCTCAGCCATATTGTGACTAACAGCATGTTGGATATTGGAAAAGGTTGAGAGATTAAATTAATATGAATGGTCAACTTGATGGTTGATTCTGAATTGTAACCAGGTTTGTGTTTTTTGTTAGTTTTTATTTGCTTTTTTTTTACTTCCTCTCTTGATATGAAGAGATTGAGGACGCTAAATTTTGGTGTGGATGTTTCTCCATATGAGGACATATATTGTGTTTGATTTTAGTCCTGTGTATTTCTGCAGATTGTATTAAGATATTATTGCTGACTTTTTATCAAGTGTACATATTGAAATTTTAAAATGTTGACTACATATCTAGGTGAGCTGCTATTATATCTGTAGACCAAAATGACCAAAACAGTGTGTTCACAAAATGTCACACTTCAATGAGCAACAATGTGAACAGGTGTAAATTTGCATTATGGAGTTGGATGATGAAAACGGGGGCTTGTAACACAAAAACAAGCACTAAGGTGTATACTGACACTGTTGGGTGAGTGAGAGTGAGTTCAGTTTTACGCCGCTTTTAGCAATATTCCAGCAATATCAAGGCAGGGGGACACCAGAATGGGCTTCACACATTGTACCCTCGTAGGGAATCGAACCCGGGTCTTCGGCGTGACGAGCGAACGCTTTAACCACTAGGCTACCCCACCAACCCGACACTGCTGGGGTCTTCGCACTCAAAATCTAGTATCAAGGTATACATTGTCACTACACCAAAAGTACCTTGGAGCCAGTTTTCTTATTACAAGTCCCTGAAGACCTTCTGTATATGCTATGAAAAGCTTGGACGAATGATGCTCCATTTTGCAAATCTGCCATCTTCTTTCTGTTGAGCTAAAACTAAGGTATAGCTTTTTTTTAGAACCCCCTGTGGTTGGTTGGTTTGTTGCTGCATTCAGTAATATTCCAGCTAGATGGCTGCAGTCTGTAAATAATCGAATCTGGACCAGACGATCCAGTGATCAACATCATGAGCATCAATCATCGCACTTGGGATATAATGACATGTGTCTACCAAGTCATCAAACCTGACCACCCGATCCCTTTAGTTGCCTCTTACGACAAGCATGGGTTGCTGAAGACAAATTCTAACCCAAATCTTCATGGGATTTATCATAATTGGATGAAATTTGCTTGGACAAACATGGACAGGGGTGGACATGTGGAGATCTGGTAAAACCAGTAAAGGGGAGGACAGGGGAGGGGAAATAACCCCACTTAGACACAGTACACACAGCTGACCAGTTCTTTATGCTTTAAGGGTAACACAAAGAATCATCTTATTACATCTCAGCTAGGGATCAAACCAATGACTTTCTACTCTCTGGGCAGACACTCCACTCACTGGACTACCTGGGTTCCAGTAATGACATCTCTCTGAGAACGTGATTATCTTATCACATCAGGTTCCAAAAGCAAAGATGCTGTGTTTCTTACACTTGAGTTTGGTTGTACGCTGCTTTTAGCAATATTCCAGCAATATCACAGCGGGGAACACCAGAAATGGGCTTCATACATTGTTCCCATGTGGGGAATCGAACTTGGGTGTTTGCCGTGATGAGCAAACACTTTAACCACTAGGCTACCCCACCGCCTCTATGTTTCTTATACACTGATCAAGCCTTATCTCTCCATCACCTCACTCAGCAATGATACAGTTATGTGAGAGTGGCCTCTAAATAACTGGACCAGACAATCCAGTGATTGACCACAAGAGCTAATTGGGAAGACATGCAATCAACCAAATCATGAAGTCAGATTAGGTCCATAAGGTCAATTCCTACACCCAGGCAATATATATAATCAAGTGAGTGAGTGAGTGAGTATGGTTTTAGCAATATTCCAGCAATATCACAGTGGGGAACACCAGAAATAGGCTTCACACATTGTACTTATGTGGGGAATTGAACCTGGGTCTTCAGCCTGACCAGGCTACCCCACCGCCCCATATCTAATGCATTTCACACCACCTCCAGCAATATTCCGGGAATATCATGGCTGGGATACCAGAAATGAGCTCCAGTCTATGAAGAATCCACGGGGGAATTCCAAGTGGTGAGCATTTTACACCACCTGCAGCAATATTCCAGCAATAGCATGGCTGGGACATCAGAAATGAGCTCCATCCATCAAATAATTAGTAACAACACATTTGTAGAGCACCTGATATCCATGTCAAAGATGCTCAATGCTGCTACCTGTGAAGGTCAGGGTTAGAATGAACCTTCAGTAGCCCATGCTTGTCGTAAGAGGCGACTAACGGGATCGGGTGGTCAGGCTCACTGACTTGGTTGACACGTCATCGGTTCCCAATTGCGCAGATCAATGCTCATGATGTTGATCACTGGGTTGTCTGGTCCAGACTCGATTATTTACAGACCGGCGCCATATAGCTGGAATATTGCTGCTGATAGAGGCGTAAAACTAAACTTACTCACTCAATGCTGCTAAAATTTGTGGAATGGAACCTGGGTACGCCACAGCCACCCCCTCACTCAAAAGGAGTGAGTGAGTATGGTTTTACGCCGCTTTCAGCAATATTTCAGCAATATCACGGCAGGGGACACCAGAAATGGGCTTCACACATTATGCCCATGTGGGGAATCAAACCTGGGTCTTCAGCTTGACGAGCGAACACTTTAACCATTAGGCTACCCCACCACCTTCCTTTCCCTTACAAGGAAGTAAAACGAGAACTATAATTGTCTGAAGCATGTTTATTTACACAATGGTTTACAACGACAAAGACGAGGACAGCTATACAAATCTGGCTATATACAAGCTGCTGTAGGAAAACAGGATCTACACAAAATAATTCATTTCTAATCGTCAACACTTCACATTTAAAACACACATTCCTCCATCATGTGAATGCATACGACTGTATTGCAGAGTAGCTACAAATAACCAACACATCAGGCAATCACCTGGATCCAGTGAGTGAGTTTAGGTTTAGGTCGCTTTTAGCAATATCAAGGGGGACACCAGAAATGGACTTCACATATTGTACCCATGTGGAGAATTGAACCCAGGTCTTCGGCATGACGAGCGAATGCTTTAACCACTAGGCTACCCCACCGCCCCACGTTAATACAAAATACCAAACAATTGTAGTAAATAGACTATTTAATGTGTCTGCATATTGATGACAAATGATGGACAAGCTGGTCAAAACATTTTCAGTAAGATGAGCTAAAGATGTCAATGACTTCAACCAACCTTCAGTCATGGATGGTGGAAAATCATTTATACACAGCCAGGGGTGGAAATAACTTTAAAAGTGATAGTGTACTCCGGTACAGTGGCACATGTAAAGTCACTTGTCCTGACAATTTTTCCACTATACCGACCGTTTTCTTGCTGATTTTTTAAATAAACAACATAATTAACATTGGAAAGTCAACTGGACCCCGGTACAGTGTGATATACAAATTTGCTTGCCCGACAGAAAAAAACACTGGACTCGGACGTCGGGCAATGGGTTATTTCCACCCCTGACAGCCAAGAAAAACAGACCCGGTTCTTGACTACACTACATATCAAATGTGTGTATTCATGTGAGATGGAGGAGCATAGTGTATTTAAACCTCTAAGGTATTAACAACGTTTCATTCAACATATAAACACAATGAGTGAGTGAGTGGGTTTGGTTTTATGTGGCTTTTAGCAATATTCCAGCAACATCACGGCAGAGGACACCAGAAATGGGCTTCACATATTGTACCCATGTGGGGAATCGAACCTGGGTCTTAGGCATGACTAGCAGACGCTTTAACCACTAGGCTACCCCACCGTCCCATAAACACAATGAAAGAGTCACTACCTGAAGGACCAATGAATAATGACAATGTTATTAGTATACTGATTGCATACAGTGACTACATATCCAGAAATTCTGCACGATTCTCCACATGGACAACTCCTTCGGGGAGCATAGGCTTGCACATGGTTCACCAGAGCTTCTGAATGTCTTGTGTCAATGCCAACCATACCAAGGCTCAAGTCATAATTTAAGAATTTACCAACTTCAAATGTTAAAAAACCCGCAAAACCCGGTGTTTTATAATACCTACCTACAATTTGATTTTTCGCTGGTGTCAATACAAACAAATTGTTCAAAATACTGTCATCAAAAACTGTTGAAAATCTCCAAAGCAAAACAGTATTATTAACAAATCACAAGTAGACACAATATTTATTTGAAATTGGATTTTTCTCCCATTAATATAATATTAATTTAATATGTTACAGTAATTTATAGTGTCCCGAAAATTCAGTGATTAATATCATGAGCACCGATTCATGCAATAGGTATACAATGACATGCCTTTGTGGCAGGCACAGATTTGCTGGGACCAGTAATTGAACCCAGGGGTAAAAGAGCCAAGACAGTTAACCTCTCCCACTCCAGTGCTATTGTACAAAACAATCTTTGTGCTGAATAGATCATTACTCCTATAACTTACCTAGAATGAGTTAGTTAGTGAGTTTAGTCTCACGCCGCTTTTAGCAATATCACGGCAGGGGACACCAGAAATGGGCTTCACACATTGTACCCATGTGGGGAATCAAACCCGGGTCTTCAGTGTGACGAGCGAACGCTTCAACCACTTGGCTATCCCACCGCTTTGTTGCACACAGCAATATTCCAGCTGTATGTTGATAGCCAGCAAATAACACCACACAAGCCAGTGACTGATGAAGTGAAATGGGTGCAGTGAAAAGTCACAGAGCTCATTTAGTCTCCTCTATGACAGCAGAGGTTGAAGGGAACTAGTTTTAAAATATAAACCCTACAGGCCACATGGGCTTGTATTGCTGAAAATGTCCTTGGTCCAACACCTCTTCACGGATAGCCATCTACATATAAATAAGTATAAATATGTGCTACAGGCCATTTCCTGGATGACTTATACTTGTGGGCTCTTTATGAGTGAGTGAGTTTAGTTTTACGCCGCACTCAGCAAAATGGCTCTTTATGATTCAAATTAAGACTTGTACTTCGACATCGTAATATCAATGTACAAACCAGCCTCATTGATTTTCTTGAGTTGCTGACAGGGCTACTCAACATGAAATTGTGTGTATTTAGTGTTCAATACCGGTACTAAATATTCTTATAAAATGACATCCGTAATTCAAAAAATGTTTTCAAGCTCCAAAGTTCTATACAGAGACTTTAAGGGAAATCAGCCTGTCTCCCTAAACACTTCTCTACTTTCCACACTTACATATATTTGATGAAGACAAATGTGAAACATGAAACTAAATACATCTGGGCCCCGTTTCACAAAGCTCTCGTAAGCCTAAGATCTCGTACTTCCTATGTTACAGTGTAGGAGGTACGAATGATACGAGGAAAGTTACGAGATCTTAGGCTTACGAGAGCTTTGTGAAACGGGCTCCTGGCCTATAGAAGGTTTGACATTCTTATTTGTTCATTTGACTCGGGAATACATAGAAACAAGACTGAGTTAGACCTTGTGGATTCATCTTAAATTCATTCACCCTAGACTTATTTGGCAAATGTCTTTCTTCAGAAGAACGGTTCCTGATACATAGTGCATAGGTAACGTTAAATACAATAGTGCAGAGTTCATTAGCAGTTACATTGTGTGCTGCAGTCCTTGTGACGATCATTTATTGCCACTCAAGGGAGCACATACAGACCCAGAATTATGGAAAGTTGGAATACACATAATTTGCTGAATGACTTGTCTGAAGGTGGATTTAAGACAGAAACACCCTCTGTATCCATGTGAGCAACTTGTAATATCCAGGGAGGTACCATGAACAAGTAAATGTAAATCAAACCTCCCTTTTAATAGTATTCAAGTTATATGGCAGTAACAAGACGGAACTAGAGTGATGCTGGTCTTGAACGCTTACAACTTTGGTGACCCACACAAGCATGATAACGGTGCTGACAAATCTAGAAGCACAATTTTGAAAATTTGGATTCAAATCCCAAGACGATTGGAGTGCCTCAGACAACTGGGCTACCCGTGCCTCTTTATTTAGACCAATACCTTTGTGGAAAAGGGAATTCAGTGATTGACATCATGAGCACTGATTCATGCAATAGGCCTTTCATGACAAGCACAGATTACTGAGACCTGGAATTTTACCCAAGGGCAACAGAGCCAAGATGGTTAACCTTTCCCTTTGTGAGTGGGGGAGATTAGTTATACGCCACGCTCGGCAATATTCCAGCTATATGGCGGCGGTCTGTGAATATACGATTCTGGACCAGGAAATCCAGTGATCAACAGCATGAACATCAATTTACATAATTGGGATTCGATGACGTGTCCACCAAGTCAGTGAGCCTGACATCCTTTGTGGGAACCTGAACCTGGTGCTTTATCTTAGTGCCATGGCCATAATACCATTTTTATGAAACCTGTAAGCTCTGATATGGCGCTGATATGACTTAATATGCAAAATCCACCATATAGTAAAGAACACAAAATTATCATAGTGTTTTTCTTTATCTTGCAAACCATTTTCATCATATATTGCTGATTCACTTGCCACAGGGAAATGGATGCTGGTAGAATGCTTGCCTCAACGAACTGGGTTCTGTCTCTTCATTAGCAGCAAGAGGGCTAGGTTTTGTCACAATAAGTTGGTGTAATGAAAACAATGGCATGTTCACTATATAAATACATCAGAAGTTAAAATGAGTGAGTGAGTGAGGTTAGTTTTACACCGCTTTTAGCAATATTCCAGCAATATTACGGCAGGGAACACTAAAAATTGGCTTCACACATTGTACCCACGTGGGTCTTCGGTGTGATGAGCGAACGCTTTAACATTCAGGCATCCCCACAGCCCCAGGTAGTGATGAGAATTGCAACTTGATGCATTCAGGCACGTAAAAACTTCAAAGGTTGATAACAAGGTTTCACTTTTGTTACTTAACAAGAAGATTCAAAATGTTCCAGTCAGTTGAGCTCGCCAAGCAGCAAATCCTGTCTCAGGAAAACCAGTTAGGACATTCCATATCAACCAGATATAGTTATTCTTATGCAATTTGGTTATAACATTCTACATCAACCAGGGTCCTACTGCCGTAAGTATGTAGTCAGTGTGCCCACCTGGTCCCTGTTCCGTCAGCCAAGCCACTCAATTCTCAAATGAAGTTGCACAGGTGATAAGATGACTGGAAAAATTTAAACAGCAGTACGATCTCACTGTCTCTGGATGTACAACACTCGCATCTGTGAGGAGTGTGTGTGGCAAGGGAGATAATCCACCTACAAGGGGCACAGAGCAGGCAGGTCTGATGATGGTGATACAATTGTCTTGCTGCCATATTATATGTTGAAGTCTGTAGAGTGATCTCCCATTATTACACATCACTCCGCCATAGCTTTATTGTTTTGTCATTTTCCAGAGCTGCTGATGCAATAATGTTTTCCGTTGGGTGGCAGGCACAACACAACACCACATCTGAAAACAGAAACATGGTTTCAATACTAAAACACCTACCAATGCTACAAGGAAAGAGTGACTGAGTGAGTATGGATTTATGCCGCTTTTAGCAATATTCCAGCTACATCACGGCAGGGAACACCAGAATTGAGCTTCACACATATACCCATGTGGGCAATCGAACCTGGGTCTTTGGCCTGAAGAGCGCACTCTAACCACTAGGCTACCCCACCTTCCCCACAAGGAAAGAGAAACAGTAACAATGTCAGTCTCACAGAAAATTTGAACACTTATAAGTGTGTATATTTTTACAGTGTAGTTTCACTATTTTGACCAAACAAATACCAAACAACTGAATTACCTTATGAGCTGCATAAATACTGCCTCGTCACCATCAATCAGCTGCCGCATTTATAAACTACTATAGAGTTTGCCCGATTGAGTGAGTGAGTGAGTGAGTTAAGTTTTCGCTGCTTTAAGCAATATTCCAGCAATATCATGGCAGGGGACACCAGAAATGGGCTTGACACATTGTACCCATGTGGGGAATCACACCCAGGGCCTAAATTTTCGAAGCTCTCTTATCGCTAAGGTAGTCGTAAGTTAATGTTAATGTATGGCACTAACGACTATCTTAGCGCTAAGAGAGCTTCGAAAATCTAGGCCCTGGTCTTTAGCATGAGGAGCAAGCGCTTTTACCACTAAGCTACCCCATAGCTCCGTGCCCGACTGGTAAACAGCGGTAAGTCAACAAACCATAGTCAATGTTACATACAAACTTACGAATTCACTTCTTTAAAAGGGCTATTTTCATGATGCCATATTTGCTTTTGTCTTTTGAAGCATGTTGTTGCTAGTATCCAACAAGCCAGAAAAACACCCTCACCATGTGCATGCATTCCGCCGTGATTGTTCTTCAAGATGCTTCACTCTAAATTATCAACGCCATCCAAACAAGAATGGCACTAGGAGTAATCAGACCTCAAATTGAAACTCATTTCTGCTCTGCTTACGAAGTCCACCTCCCTTTAACCAGAAAAACTCTGGCTAAACTTTGGAAGACAACATCGCAAGGCATTCAAATGACACGCATGATGTCATCATATTACTCACTTCAACCTTACTTGAATACCTAATACATGATGCAACAAAACACCTTAATCAGTCACACAAATACATTCATCTATTCTCAGATAAACCAAGCCGACAAGAACCTTATCTCATCCGCCAAGCTGAGATATACCTAGAAACAGCCCAGATTATCCATCCAACAAAAACATTCCAAGATATACTGCACCTCATCCATCTAGCATATAAACAAAAAATACACTATATCACCTACCTAGCTGAGATGTACAATGAAACACCTGATCTCAACAACCTAAATGAGATGTAACAAGAAATACTTTATATTATCCACCTAAATGGGACATAAGAAGAAACACCCCATATGATCTACCAAGATGGCATATAACAAGAAAAGCACTATATCAATAAGCCAGCTGAGATACAAGAAATAACCTATCTGAACCCTCAAACTGAAAAACACCCCAAAATATCCCAAATCTTCTCCACTAAGCCAAGAATTATTGATCTTACCTGCAAATTTTTCCACCTCATACTTACATACTCAGTCTAGAAATATCTGACAGTATCCAACAAGCCAGAAAAACACCCTCACCATGTGCATGCATTCAGCCGTGATTGTTCTTCAAGATGCTTCACTCTAAATTATCAACGCCATCCAAACAAGAATGGCACTAGGAGTAATCAGACCTCAAATTGAAACTCATTTCTGCTCTGCTTACGAAGTCCACCTCCCTTTAACCAGAAAAACTCTGGCTAAACTTTGGAAGACAACATCACAAGGCATTCAAATGACACGCATGATGTCATCATATTACTCACTTCAACCTTACTCGAATACCTAATACATGATGCAACTAAACACCTTAATCAGTCACACAAATGCATTCATCTCATTCTCAGATAAACCAAGCCGACAAGAACCTTATCTCATCCGCCAAGCTGAGATATACCTAGGAACAGCCCAGATTATCCATCCAACAAAAATATTCCAAGATATACTCTACCTCATCCATCTAGCAGATACACCAAAAAACACCTTATATCATCCATCTAGCTAAGATATATCAAGAAATACCCTATAGCACCCACCTAGCTGAGATATACAATGAAACAACTTAACTCATCCACATAAATGGGATATAAGAAAAAGTACCCTTTATCATCCACCTAGATGACCTATACAAAGAAAAACCCTATATCATTAACCCAGCTGAGATACAGCAGGAAATAACCTATCTGAACCCTCAAACTGAGAAACACTCCAAAGTATCCCAAATCTTCTCCACTAAGCCAAGAATTATCGATCTTACCTGCAAAACAGAACATTTCTCTAACTCATACTTACAGGCTTAACTCAGGCTAGAAATACCCTCACCATTTGCATGCAATCAGCCGTGATTGTTCTTCAAGATGCTTCACTCTAAAATGTCAACACCATCCAAACAAGTATGGCACTAGGAGTAATCAGACCTCAAATTGAAACTCATTTCTGCTCTGCTTACGAAGTCCACCTCCCTTTAACCAGAAAAACTCAGGCTAAACTTTGGAAGACAACATCGCAAGGCATTCAAATGACACGCATGATGTCATCATATTACTCACTTCAACCTTACTTGAATACCTAATACATGATGCAACAAAACACCTTAATCAGTCACACAAATGCAATCATCTCATTCTCAGATAAACCAAGCCGACAAGAACCTTATCTCATCCGCCAAGCTGAGATATACCTAGAAACAGCCCAGATTATCCATCCAACAAAAATATTCCAAGATATACTGCACCTCATCCATCTAGCAGATACACCAAACAATACACTTTATCACCTACCTAGCTGAGATATACAATGAAGCACCTGATCTCAACAACCTAAATGAGATGTAACAAGAAATACTTTATATTATCCACCTAAATGGGACATAAGAAGAAACACCCCATATGATCTACCAAGATGGCATATAACAAGAAAAGCACTATATCAACAAGCCAGCTGAGATACAAGAAATAACCTATCTGAACCCTCAAACTGAAAAACCCCAAAATATCCCAAATCTTCTCCACTAAGCCAAGAATTATTGATCTTACCTGCAAAACACAAAATTTCCCTACCTCATACTTACATACTCAGTCTAGAAATATCTTACAGTATCCAACAAGCCAGAAAAACACCCTCACCATGTGCATGCATTCAGCCGTGATTGTTCTTCAAGATGCTTCACTCTAAATCATCAACACCATCCAAGCAAGAATGGCACTAGGAGTAATCAGACCTCAAATTGAAACTCATTTCTGCTCTGCTTACGAAGTCCACCTCCCTCTAACCAGAAAAACTCTGGCTAAACTTTGGAAGACAACATCGCAAGGCATTCAAATGACACGCATGATGTCATCATATTACTCACTTCAACCTTACTTGAATACCTAATACATGATGCAACAAAACACCTTAATCAGTCACACAAATACATTCATCTCATTCTTAGTTACACCAAGCCTGACAAGAACCTTATCTCATCCGCCAAGAATATACCAAAGAACACCCATGTCATCCACCTATATGAGATATACAACGAAACACCTTACCTCATCCATCTAAATGAGATGGAACAAGATATACTCTATACTATCCACCAAGATGGGATATGAGAAAAAACGCCCACCTTGCTGACATTAAGCAAGAATAATGTATATCAAATATGAAAATATCCCAAGCTTCACTGCACAAGTCAGAACATTATGTCCAGGCGTAGCCCCTCCACATTATCCACAAAGAGTAGATGGTGCCATCATCGTCATGGTTACCTGTGTGTCCCTGGAGCTTCTGGACTATTTCCTTTGTCTGCAAATTCCAGATGTACACCATGTTGTCCTCTGAGCCTGACACGATCCACTGGAGAGTAGATGTACAACCGGTGATTATACAGATATATAAGGTACCACACAGATATAGCACTGTTTTTATACAGATATACTGCAGGCTACGACAGACACTACACTGGTCAATATACAGATATACCACAGGTTATCATACAGCCATAGCTCTAGCTATACTACATATACTATGATTATTATATACATTTAACTCATGTAGTATTCAGACATACTGCCTACAATAAGCAAAAATGATAGAGTGAGTGAGTGAGCGAGCTAAGTTTTATGCCGCTTTTAGCAATATTCAAGCAATATCACGGCAGGGGACACCAGAAATGGGCTTCACACATTGTTGGGAATCGAACCCAGGTCTTCGGGTTGACGATCAAATGCTTTAACCACTAGGCTATCCAACCGCTCCCAAAATGGTAGAATTAATTTTCAGGGCAATATCATTTGCTGTAGCCTAAGGTCTCACATTTTTTAAAACTGCTTGACAAAGGACTGCAGCTGCATATGACAATGCACTGACAATTGAAAACTTTTACAGCACAAATGGTCATAATTTGTCCTTATATGATATGTTCAATCACAAAACAATGCATGGCAGCTGATATTCACAGAAAGAAAGCAACAGTGTCCTCAATAAGGGACTGTTCATAAGTTATGACCCCCCCCTCACCTTCCTATAATTTCTAAGCATAATTTTAAACATACTTTTATGTACAAAATTGCTGACACCCCCATCCCCCAGTATGTGTGTACAAAATTGATGACCCCTAGCTCCCCAGAACAAAATGCCCCCCTCCTCCAAAAAAAATAAAAATAAAATAAAATAATAATAATCATAATAATAATAAAAATAAATAAATAAATAAAAAAGAAAGAAATAATAAAATAAATAAAATAAAAATCTTAAAAATCATCATCACCCGCTAGCCATAAATTATGAACGGTCCCTAATGCTGTCGCTATACATAACATGACAACAATTGCCTCCAACCTTCAATTCAGCCAGAAAGGTAAGATGGACATCAACATTGTTTGACAATGCAACTATTGACAGTAGCAGTGCCTAATGTACCCACGGCATGAAACAGCCTGATCAACAATGACTTGGCTGGGATTAACGTGGGATTGATTTTACCTCCAATGATTATGAGATCAATCACTGTCTAGGACTATGTCCCTTGCCCTGGAGGTTCAGCTTCTTTCGTGTACAATTCACTAATCTCTTTTAGACTAGACAAACAAACCACTGCAAAGAATGTTCAGGGCCAAGCAAAAAGGTAAGCAAGCCATCCTGTTAACCATGAATGACTAATGATGAGTGACTGAGCAGTAATCCAGCTATATGGCAGTGGTCTGTAAATAATCAAGTCTGGATCAGACAATCCAGTGATCAACAACATGAGAATCGATCTATGCAGATGGGATACGACGACATGTGTGAACCAAGTCAGCGAGCCTGACCACCCGATCGCGTTAGTCGCTTCTAACGACAAGCATGGGTTACTGAAGATCAATTCAAACCCGGATCTTCACATGTTCTCTTATGATAAGCATGGGCTGATGAAATGCCACATGTCAAATGTTCCACCTACCTTCCCTCCTGTTACTGAGAAGTTGGCAAATATACAGTACTTCTCATTCTTGTGACCAACATACGTCTTTAGACACTGCAACAAAGAAAAAGATACCTGTAACAGATTCATATTAATTCACTGACAGGTGTTCTTTAAACTGAGAGGGGCATTTTACGGTAAAAAATGTGTACTATTTTCAATTTTGAAATCAGAACTTCAAATTCCTGTATTTTTATCTTTTTACCCATGTGTCTTGTCACCTGAACACCCTGTTTACTTACCTTCCCTTTACTGTAGTCCCATAATTTTAATGTGCTGAAAGACAAACAGATCACATTAAACATCACTACATAGTAATATTTTAAATCTTTGAGGGCATTTAGAAGTGGAATGCATATGAAAAGCAAGATTTATGGATGTCAACTTCTTAATTGTGAGACCACCTCCGTGGTGTAGTGGTTAGACCGTCAACCCGGGAGAGCGGAAGGTCGCGGGTTCGATCCCCGACCGTGTCATACCAAAAGACGTTAAAATATGGTACTCGTTGGTCCCTGCCTGGCACTCGGCATTAATGGGTACAACAAGGACTGGTCGGCTCGGGAGTCAGTATAATGTGTCTGAGTGGGGTATTCATGCTTCACTGCGGCATGGTAACTCAGTGGGCTAGCACTATAAAACCAGCTTAAGTCTGGGCTAGTACAAGCAGCTGCACATACACATACACACGCATGCACGTCGTCATATGAGTGAAATATTCTCAAGCACGACGTTAAACCCATTTCACCTCACCTTAATTGTGAATAACACAACTTTTCAGAGTGTATGCTTGCTCCTTTATCACCTGATGATTTCTTAGTCATATTTTGTTTGTTGTTTATCACCAAACTCAGTAATGTTGCAGCTATGACGACAATCAGTCAACAATTGAGTCTGGACCAGACAATCCAGTGATTGACATCATGAGCACTGATCAATGTATCTGAGATACAATGACGTTCATCAACAAAGTTATCAACAGCCCTCACCACATAATCCCATTACAAGCAGCATGGGTTGGTGAAACTGAATATAACCTTGAGATAAAATGCATGGGCTGTTGATGACCAATTCTAACCCTGATCTTCATGGGGAGAGGCTAGCATAGGGGGGAGAGGCTAGCATAGGGGGGAGAGGCTAGCATAGGGTGCTGAAGGCCAGCTATAAACTGGAACTTCATAGCGGTTGTAAGAAACTATGAGTAACAGATCCTTATCACCAAAGGGGAGTAAGTGCAACACCAACTACTTACTTGTCAAGTGTAGCTGCAAGGATATATTTTCCATTTGGAGAAAACTTCACAAAAGAGACTGGAGGATTATCATCATCTGTGAACAGGAAGATTACCATACATGATTTCTGAAACAAGAGTCTCAAATATCATCGACTGTGTGAGGGAACGCTGCTATGATTGTGTAAAGTTACTGTTCACACTTCCGAATGTTCCCATGGCATGAAACAGCCTGATCAACACTGACTTGGCTGGGATTAACATGGGATTGATTTTACCTCCAATGATTATGAGATCAATCACTGTCTAGGACTATGTCCCTTGCCCTGGAGGTTCAGCTTCTTGTGTGTGGAGCATCTCCAACACAATAGTCATACAACCAAATCTAAGTGGCAGTTTTCTCACATGAATGAAAAACTGTTATACTGATTGCCTTATGGATGAAATATACTAGTAAACAAACATTACTTCAGTTCTGTATTTCCAGTGTGAAGCTGTCCCCAGCCTACTTAAATATTTTGATATGCACACAACTTGGTTTCAGAATTAATATATTATTCTTGCTTCAAAGTAAATTCAAAGGTTTAGTCATCAAGATTCATGTCTTAAATCACTTATATAGACCACATTTATTGTTTTTAATGCTGCACTCAATAATATTCCAGCTATATGACAGCAGTCGGGTCTGGACCAGACAATCCAGTGATCTACAGAATGATCATCGATCCACACAACTAGGATACAATGACATGTGTAAACTAAGTCAGCGAAAGTTACAGTGATATCAACTTGTACATGTTCCCATGGCATGAAACAGCCTGATCAACACTGACTTGGCTGGGATTAACATGGGATTGATTTTACCTCCAATGATTATGAGATCAATCACTGTCTAGGACTATGTCCCTTGCCCTGGAGGTTGTTTCAATACGTATATAATGAACATGCTTGTCCCCACCACTTGCTGTATATTTAAGTCAAAATGTGCATGACAAACTATACTTACAGTATATTGCATCCTATGAGATTGTCATTGCCACATTTTACTGTCCAACAGTGCAGCTGAACAGCAACATATAAATATTTTCAGTAACAGTTGGGGTGATACTTTATCAATTTACCTTAGTTTCTATTTGACACATATTTATTTCAATGATCAATCAAACAGTCAATTACACAACCACGTAAGTCTGCAATTCTAATATCTAGTTTTTGATGTAAATCTATGACAACATGGACCCGTGAAGATCCAGGTTAGAACTGATCTTCAGTTCTCCATGCTTGTCGCAAGAAGCGACTAATGGGATCGGGTGGTCAGGCTTGTTGACTTTGTTGACACATGCCATCATACCCCAATTGCGTAGATTGATGCTCAAGCTGTTGATCACTGGATTGTCTGGTCCAGACTTGATTATTTACAGACCACCACCATATAGCTGGAATATTGCTGGGTGTGGCATAAAACTGAACTCACTCCCTCCTAATTACGACATGCTGTTGCTAGCTCCAATATTCATACAGTTTGGCCCTCAGTCAGAATTATTTGCAGAATTTATGTCCTAAAAATTAAAAAGTTGTTTAACAAACTACCATTAAAATTTTGACACAGTTCACTATTTTGTTACAAAGGAGGGGTGCAAAGAAAGGGACAGCCAGGTGTGCAAGAAAGGATGGAGACAGCACAGCACAGGTTAATGAATCAATAACTTAGACGGCACTTGTGCACGTGTTTCTCGAACACCTGGCTGTCCCTTTCTCTGTACCCCTCCCTCGTAACAAAATGTAATTTTTTGAGTAAAATTGATATTTTATACTTATCCTGACTCATGCTCTTTTTGCTTGTCTCCTTCCTCTTGCGAACATAGTGGAACACTTGTATCTCCCTAATTGAAGTTCCCTTCAATGTAAAATCACTAATTAGTACACCACGAGTTACCTCCCTTCCACAAGCGCGGGAACGAGGGCGCCACCTCTACCCATGTGCCTCACTCTCTCCTCATATACTGAGCCCAACATTTTGAATTTACAGGAAATCCAAAGTGTTATTTGGGGAGGATGGGAGGGCTGACCTCATGAGTCAGGATAAGTATAAAATATCAATTTTACTCAAAAATTACATATTTTTTCCTTATCCTGACTCATGCTCTCTTGTAGTAGAATCCAACAGAGGCGAGGAGGTGGGAATATATAATACTTTGGATTTTAATAATTAGTGATTTGAACTGTGATGATTGTAATAACCCTATGGGAACTTCATAAAGGCATTGAACTGATGAATTCCTGCTGCTAACTTATCAGCTGCCATATAAAGGTTATTACAATGTACTTATTATGATAAGTATATATAATATTAATACAATGCTTAAGACTAATAGACTTAAGCTTGTTAATATGCTAGTATAAACTCCTTAGAGTTTGTTAGCTAAAATACTTTAAGATATAAACATAGCACTAAGCTTAAAATATGATTAATTTTAAGCTAATTATATAATAACAAACCTCTTTAGGGTTTGTTAGTTAAAATATTTATATGATATAGACAGTGCTGAGCTTAAGATATGAATAAAGCAGCTATATATATAACAAGCAAACTTTGTAGAGTTTGTTAGCTAATACATTTTACAATATGAGTATAGTATTGTGCTTAAGATATAATTATCTTAAGCTACATATATAATAGCCAAACTTAGTAGAGTTTGTTAGCTAATATATTTTTACAATATGAGTATAATACTGTGCTTAAGATATAATTAACTTAAGCTACATATATAATAGCCAAACTTAGTATGGTTTGTTAGCTAATATATTTTTACAATATGAGTATAGTACTGTGCTTAAGATATAATTAACTTAAGCTACATATATAATAGCCAAACTTAGTAAAGTTTGTTAGCTAATATATTTTTACAATATGAGTATAGTACTGTGCTTAAGATATAATTAACTTAAGCTACATATACAATATAAAAACTCTGTAGAGCTTATTAGCTAATAGATTTATAATGTAACCATAGTACTAAGCTTAAGATATGATTAGACTTAAGCTAAATGTATATAGCAAAAAACTCCTTAGAGTTTATTAACTAATATACTTTTATGTTATAAACATAGTACTGAGCTTAAGATATGATTAAACTTAAGCTATATATATATATAATAGTAAAACTCCGTAGAGTTTGATAGCTAATACATTTTATTATGTTGATTTAGACCTAGTATTGAGCTTAAGATATGAAGTAAACCTTAAGCTAAATATATAATAGCAAAAAACCTTTTAGAGTTTTAATAGCTAATATACTTATATGGTATCAACATAGTATTGAGCTTAAGATATGAAGAAACCTTAAGCTACATATGTATAGCAAAAACTCCGTGAGTTTGTTAGCTAATACATGATATAATGTAACCATAAAAGCTTAAAATATGATGAAAACTTAAGCCCAATATATAATAGCAAAAACTCTTTTTAGAGTTTTGATAGCTAATATACCTATATGATATAAACATGGTACTAAGCTTAAGATATGAATAAGCTTAAGTTACATATATAATAGCAAAAACTCCATAGAGTTTGTTAGCTAATACATGTTATAATGTAACCATATTGCTTAAGATATGATGAAACTTAAGCCAAATAGCAAAAGCTCTTTAGAATTTGTTAGCTAATATAGTTATATGATATAAACATAGTACTGAGCTTAAGATATGAATGAGCTTAAGCTACCTATATAATAGCAAAACTCCGTAGAGTTTGTTAGCTAATGTATTTTTACAATATGAGGTATAGTACTATGCTTAAAATATACTTGACTTAAGCTCACATTATATAATAGCCAAAAAACTCTGTAGAGTTTGTTAGCTAATGCATTTATCATGTAACCACTGTGATGATAAAAAGCGAGCTTAAGCAAATTATATATAGCATGAAGCTATTTAGTACTGTTATAAGATAAGTAAAAATCTGTAAGATTGACTTATCTTCTCAGAGAACTGTCAACTGTTGTGCAAGGACCATGGGATCAAATTGGTGGATACCTGAGATGTCCTCGGTGGTGATATCTCTCAGATAATGGTTGGCAACCACCATATCAGGATCTACAGTAATAAACCCTCCATTATTTCAAATAACATTTGTGTAGATGAAATTGTAGAAGTTAAGCTCTAATATCAAAGAGTATTAAAGCTCATGGAGGGTCGGATTAGGTCCATCTGTCTTGTATGCGTAGTATGACAGTTCTGATCCAAGCGGAGATATAGTGCATTGAGACTACACTCTGCGTAAGTTGATGATAGAGGAAAAAAAAATCTGTTGTATTTTTCTTCCTGTTTGGTTTGGTGGAGATAAATTTACAGTGCTCTTGCTGGCCAAGCGTGATAGCATCATCATTATCATGGAGTCCAAGTATGTCATCCAGGCATGTTCATAAACCTCACTTGTGAGGTGTTGTAACACTATATTCATATCCCCAAGTTGGTGCGTGAAACTTCCGTTTATTCTCCAAACAGAAACTTAGTAGGTTTACTAACCATCTAGTTGTGTTAGTAGCTTGATGATGAAATTCAGGTGTAGTCTGAAGCAGCTGTGGATTTCGATCCACTTGTATCCGCGTCGTCTAGGTAAATGCGTTGCGATGTCCTTGGCGATGTATGTGCACAACCGAGGAGTTTGTGTCCTCGATGAACTTTATGTAAAATCGCCTGACTGCTGTGCCCTTGTCTAAACTTGACAGAGGGAGGTCTCTAACCTGAAGAAAGCAGCCTAATCATGAAGGTTCAGGTTAACTGGGCTGTAAGGAGGCTTGCTCGTTCATTGATATAAAGTTGTCACTTGCAGCCTATGTCTTGAACTGTGAACTATGCTTTCGACCTCTGTGTGTAGGCGTTGTTCATCGAGGGTCCAATCAGAATAAGGCATTTTGATTCTGTAGAGTATCCAGCGCTGTGATGTCACCCGGTGTAGCAGGAAAAGGAACCTTGTATAATATAGTGCCGTCGTTGATATTAGAACAATCGTCGGTCTTCATCGTAACTTCGAAGTTACCCGAGTGACCCGTGTTTGAGGATTAATGGTAGCGAAAGCGGTACAAAATACCTCGCTCTGTAATATTAATGCTGGGTAGGTTATTTTCCTGGCTGTCGTGAAAGTGCTTCAGTTTTGAATATAATTCCGACTTCTTTATATATAAAAGTACAATAACTTGTAAGTTGTCAGCTTGTAGACTGTATACATGAATGTATCGTCATAATTGTAGAATTAAAGCTGAATTTGTTGTACATATTTCTTCTCAGAAATGTTGGCGATTATGAGTTATACTCGCTGTAACAAGGCTGCTGTTCAATTTCGATATTGAATTGTCTGCAGATATGCGTAATGGTCGCGCATGTAGATAATCAATATCGTCGTCCGGGATTGCATATACTAGCAATTTATCACGGAATAGTTGATTTCTGTGAAGATCTATGAAGCGTCGTTGACAAATTAATACAGCGGCGTTCTGTGTTGTAAATAGCCTGTGCAATTGTCTTAGCGTAGGCTTATAGGCGGCATCTGGCATACAGTTGATAGACAACTTATGCGATGTCTTGAAGCGGACTGAGGAGTAGCTATATATGGCCAGTGGCTAGTATATGGAGACCTTGGAGGAGACTTCCTCGGTGAGCGCCGGAGACTTCCGCGAAGCTCTGAAGTATCCCCTTCTAGATCTACTGGTGAAGTAGACTTGGAGCCACTTAGCCTTAGCGACCCAGCGAAGGTATCGAGGAGAATCAAAGTCCGATTAGAAGAATATATATATATATATATAAGGCGCTTGCCCAGCGAATGGCCTCTGTGTTTAACAGGATGTGGGGTCGGTGAGCGCTCCTCAGCGGCGTCCCTTGTAGCTGGTGAGGCTCTAGCTCCTTTGCGGGGTGCCTGGGACTTGCTGGTTCTGCATAAGTAGGGCCGAGTGGATCATCTTATCATTTTCAGAAGTAGGTATTTACGAAATCTGGCGATAAGTGTCTCAATGATCGTTCTAGATCTATTTAGGCCAGCGAACATCGTCGTCATGGATTCAACTGAACCAATTTCACGATTGTAGTTCTTATTGTTGATATCGATGATCAACTTGTGGTTTTCATCGATGTCTTAAGCCTTGAAGAAGGGGTCCATGTTGTCGTGGAAAACTTCTAGGCGTGAAAGTTAGACAATTATGGTGTCTGAACTTTTGTGGCTTTATGGGATGCTATGTCTAGATTCTGTGCTACGCGCAAGCAATCGATGGGAGAGTAGGGTGATAGCATCTGCGTCGTCTTCCTTCATCAGGTATGTCTGCGTCATTACTGCCACTCTAGGAAGGTGATGTAGACTTGTGTGCGAACTTGTGTGGTAACCTGTGAAGCGATCGATGTGGTGATGTACTTGAGGAATCGGGAGACTATTGACAGCCCAGCGAAGCTCTTGAGTAGTCCCTTGACTCTGTTAAATGGCGATCTATATTCGGGGTGTCCTTCGAGGTGCCTTCATGTGAATGCCTTCAGCGCTGAGCACGCCTTGCCAGCGAAGCTTCCTCTGCGTTGATTGCTGGGGCGGCGATTTGAGCTGAAGAGCTTCCGTGAGGTCTGGTGGCTGAGTCTGCATCTAAAGATGAAGCCGAGGAATGTGATGATCTATCCGCGCCGAAGGCCTTAGCGAAGAGCTGTACATCTGGGTCCGCCGTCAAGGTGGTCTGCGACTTCCTTCAGCGAAGGCTGCATCGTCTTGGCTGCTCACGTTGACTGGAGGTGCCTCTAGAGTGTTGTCTAAGTTGGAGCCAGCGAAGGGCTTCGTACTCTGGAGCTGGCTGCTTCTCCAGTCTGTAGTGACCCTCCATCACGACCATGATTTGCCGTAGTAGCTTCGTCTGGGGATGGTCTGCGGCGAAGTAGTAGGGGTGCCATCTCTCGCTGTTAGTGGTGGGGCCCTCAGGTAAGTCGTCTGACATCAGTGTAGAGACATCAGGCTGCATGGCGATCTCTGCTGATGTCATTGTAGCTGTCACCGGTCGCTACTTGTCTCATCACGTCGGGGATGATGATGCGGCTGATCATCGTAGAACCAAGTTCAGCGGCTGGAACAATCTCGGTTGAAAGTCCTAGTAGACTTACGTTGAATTCCCCTCAGAAGTCGGCGGCGGCTGCCCTGGGGGGTGCGAAGTCTGCGTTAGTGTTAGTAGCGGCGAGGACCCTCAGGAAGATCATCGAATGTTGATCTGCGCTGACATCACTGTTGCCGACATCAGTCATTCTTTGATGTACATCAGGAATGATGATCGGCTGATCATCATACAGGCCCAAATCTGCGATGAGAACAATCTCGGCTGAAAGTTCTAGTAGACCGTTGAATACCCCTCAGTCGCGGCGAAGGGATGTCTGGGGAAGCAGGGCGCTTCTTGGAAGCGGACTCGTCCCGCCTCTCCACCATTCTAGCGGAGGAAAACCAGGCGGGAGGGTCGACCAACAGCAGTAGACTGGCGAGGGTTCAGGTGTATCAGTCATGCTAGACTCTGCATCGTGACCTATCTGCTGCTTGCGTCTCAAGCGCAAAGTAATTATTTATTAAAAGGTAGAATTGGATAAATTAGTATCGCGAACTGCTGCGTGAATCACATGAAACATGGCGCGGTACAGCTAGGGCATATTAAATGCGGATCAGCAGCAGAATAAAAGCGTAATGTGCAACAGTACAGAATTTTTATCAGCGTAATCCTGCAACAGCCGCGTCCCGTGCATAAACAGTAGAAACCGACTAAATATCAATATATAATTGTTGAAGATACTAGCTAAACCTCTATAGATCTCTATGCGACGGGGTAACTAACTAAATATAATCAAAGGATATAGTGTGTCGGGAGACACAGGCGCTCTCACGTCCAGCTCACTGGGCGAAGAAGGAGAGAGTGAGGCACATGGGTAGAGGTGGCGCCCTCGTTCCCGCGCTTGTGGAAGGGAGGTAACTCGTGGTGTACTAATTAGTGATTTTACATTGAAGGGAACTTCAATTAGGGAGATACAAGTGTTCCACTATGTTCGCAAGAGGAAGGAGACAAGCAAAAAGAGCATGAGTCAGGATAAGGAAAAATTAGTGAACTGTGTCAAACAACTTTGTAAAACAACTTTTTTATTTTTAGGACATAAATTCTGCAAATAAATCACAGAGTTGGTCTGATGTTTTGATTATGATCAGCGTTTCATTGAGTATTATATGTTTATTATGTTTTGAGTTAGGTTGCAATTCATCAGTCCGCTTTTGAGATAAACGGACTATAACTGTTGTGATGTTTCAAATGTTTCAAAAGCGACGGGCACACTTATTTTCACAAAGGCATACCTAAATTACCTGTCTTGTGCCCTATGGCACCCTTTACAGGGCTAGAAATACTTTTTTTTTCTAAGTGGGCCTTAGGGCACCAGGCAAATATTTTAGGTGTGCCTTTCAGAAATCAAGTGTGCCCACGTTTCTAGAATAAATGACAGTAGCAAGGATGATGATCTTTTGAAATCTATTGTCAGAAAACAACAAATGTAACCAGTTTTCTGTTATCACTGATATGTCTTCTGTTTAAGATGGCTTTCTTATGTTTCATTTGTTCTGCTTTCCCAACACCTTTAATACCTAAGAATTGTGTGAGAGGTTCACTTTTTTCAATATATCTAACATACACAATTTCCTCTTCAATAACTAAACTATTAGTACTCCAAACACTCTAAATGAAAAAACAACAACCAGATTTCTTTACATCAACCATCATAATTCCAGTGATTTCCTGGGTGATAAAGTCAATAAATGTTTTTACTTGTTTGTCATTTGCATAAGTGTTTTGTTTGGGGATTAAATGACTAAAGGTGAGTTATGTCTCTACAAAAATTAGGAGTGCCATAAGGGCACCGAGAACATTTTTTATCCGTGCCATTTTGATATTTACCGTGCCATGGCACGCTAATATATGGGGTATTTCGAAACCTGCTTTAAAAAAATTGCATTTCTATCCCTGAATGTCCCAGACTTTTGTGGTGGGGTTTAAGATTACTATCGATTGTTGATTGAGTACTCAGCTCTGATTGTCGATCTGCAAATTGTGAACGATAACCAGCACCAGTAACAACATAACAAATAGAAACATAACTATAAATCAGTCAGCTGGTGTGAAGTGAAAGGTTATGTCAGTGAGATTTACTCTCCAAAACATGCACATCCAAAGGCAATAAAAGAACATCTTACCTATCAATGTTTTCAAACACTGGCCAGATGCTGTGTCCCAAATACGACTGGAAAACAAGGACAGGGTCAATTATGAATACACAATGCCATTTAGAAAAAGATCAAATGTAACACGTCAGGCCCCTAATCGTCAGCACACAAAGTCAGACACCTAACCTGCTCAGCCACTGTGGCTTTCACTATTAATCTGCAAAGTGAAGCAGCGGTGGCTGAATTTAGAGAGCTCACTTGCAACGATATGCTGACAAATCAAGTAAGTGAGTGAGTGAGTTTAGTTTTATGCTGCACTCAGCAATATTCCAGCTATATGGCAGCGGTCTGTATATAATCGAGTCTGGATCAGACAATCCAGTGATAAACAGCATGAGCATCGATCTGCACAATTGGGAATCGATGACATGTGTCAACCCAGTCAGCGAGTCTGACCACCCGATCCCGTTAGTCACCTTTTACGACAAGCAAGGGTTACTGAAGATCAATATTCTAACCCAGACCTTCACGGGTAGGAATATTGACATAAGCAGCATAAAACCATACTCACTCACTCAAATCAAGTAAGTTACACAAGGAGTTAGTTACACTAGGATTCAAACATACAGACATATGGATAAGAAAATCCAAATATGTGAAACCATTTGAACATAATCAACAGGTTGGCTTACAGTAAATTTGTGGAGCCAAAACAACATGCATATGTGATTTAGATTTGGTTCAAATTACTGTGTAATTTGTGCAGTTTGTTAACACTGTGTTTGACGATAAACTGTGTCATTTAACCCAAACTAGAGCATGAGTGCTGTAGTTCACCTGATTATGTCATCAACAGTTTAAAATGTGTTAAATCTATGTTGATGTTGGATGAGCTACGCATGTTCAGTGTATAGCCTGACTGACTGAGTTTAGGTTTTAGGCCGCTTTTAGCAATATTCCAGTAATATCACATCAGGGGACACTAGAAATGGGCTTCACACATTGTACCCAAGTGGGGAATCAAACCTGTGTCTTTGCCGTGACGAGCGGATGCTTTTACCACTAGGCTACCCCACCGCCCCGTGCCCGATTGGTAAACAGCGGTAGGTCAACAAACCATAGTCAATGTTACAATTTACGAATTCACTTCTTTAAAATGGTTATTTTATTTCGCTTTAACAACTGGGCTACCCCACCAACCCTCAGTATATAGCAGATGTTTTACTTCTGAATTTATCAGTGCAATGTTGGAATGTTTCTCATAGGACCCTGTACAAAACTAACACATTAAAGTGGGAAATAATTCTTACCATAACCCGTCGTAACTACTTGACACTATAAGAGAACCATCTCTGTTGAAATGAACCTGAAATGAAATAAAAGTTGAGTAGCCATGGTTACCTAACATAAGCAATGGTGAACATGTATACATCCTGAAGATCATGTTACTTGGCAATGATAGAGGACTCTCATTGACAGTAAAATATAGATGAAAATCAAGATATTTCCAAATGTCCTTATGGGCTTAATATCTTGCAAAATCGCTTTCTTTATTCTGTTGGTGGAGAAGTAATGAACTACTCACAGCAGTGACAGGATCTGAATGAGCAGGTAACGTTTTTAAACATTTGCCAGTCTTCACATCCCATATTCTGACACTCTCATCAAACTGAAACAAAGATATATAGAGTATATACATTTACTTTAAATGAACAGTACTGTCACATACTCCATACTGTAGTGATATCCAATCTCATATATTACCAATTCTACCATGAATCAAGAAAATACTAGATTCTGATTGGTTGTTCAGAAAAATCAGACGGCATCAATTGTGGATTGACGCTCATCTGATTGTAAGGCCGCTTCACCGCGCATTGACAAATCTTATTGTGAGAACTACTTCCGTTTGACCACAATGATGGCGGATCATAACAACAACTCCATGGATTTTGACGCTGACTTTCGAATATTCCACATAGGCAATTGGAAATTTTTGGATTAAAAATGTGTTTGATTTCATTGCGCTTCACTGCGAACGTATAGAACACTGCCGCACTACTTCAGCTTGACCACCAACATGACTAATATCAACACAACAGGCGTGATGGAAATGCTGATAAAACATTTATTTAAACTCGAAAAATACAATTATATGATTTCCCCCCCCCCAACAATTATGAGGGAACCTCACTATCATATTACCTTCTATTATAAAAATATTCAAACTCAGTTACAATACACAGCCCCAAACATAAACAAAACAATATCTAACACATAAATCAGAAAGCCTTGTAAATATACATCCCTATCTATACAAAATATGCAGCAAAACATTAGTAAACATTTACCTACCTATATTTAATTCCGTTTAGAATGGGAAATTTGCAAGATAGATCTAACGGTCTGGCGAAACACCACATTTATGCCACTCATAGTCATACTCCATCATATCCCGTTGCATCGTTCACAAAATAATTCTGCTATCTGCCACCTTCCCCGCAAGGTTGTCACTGTTATGTTCATCTACTTTGAAAAGCGGCTTGGACACAGTCCAGTCCCAAGCGATGAAAACAAAGTTCCAAGGAATCACAAGTTAGTCGCATGTACACTAAGCAGCAGCACTGTCACCCTTTTGTCGCATGCGGGATGGAGGCAGTGCACGTGAAATCATGATCGGCCGGTCATAAAATCAACAGTTTTTGATGAGTTACAGGTCGTAGGTTGATCAGGAAAGTATCTATCCTTATTCTGCAGGGTTCAGATTCGACAGTCAGTCAAGTATTGCCCACTGTCACTTCAAATTTCAACCTTTTGCAAAATGTAAACACTGGCTCGTCCGCCATTTCAAACTGTTGCGTAACTGTCTACCGATGAAAATAAGTAGGTCAGGCGATTCCATTATAGTGTGGCCAGGGGTACAGTTTCACGGCACACAAAACAATAGGCTGGTTTTAGTAGGTGTGGAGTTGGGATGAAAAAACCCCAACATCTCGGGTATTCCATAATTGCATTGAATAAACAGTAGTTTGATTTCTTTGGACAGAATATTGTTATGTTGTAATGTTAAAAAATACGAGCGGCACCTACCGCTCCCTTCACAGGCGAGTTCAATTAAGCCTCTCGTCCCATGCGGATCACACAGTGTCTTCCCGAGAAGCGAGGAAGTTCGATTTTAAATGGTTCATGGTAGAATGGAGATAACCCTAGTGTGTTTGAAAATCAGAGACATGCTTTACTGAATTGATGGCGACTAAATATATCAATTGAAACCTCACGCTACGCGTTCGGTTCCAATTGAAATTTAGTCGCCATCAATTCAGTAAAGCATGTCTCTGATTTTCAAACACACTAGGTTATCTCCTAAGTAGCACCTAAAAGGATGTCTGAAGACAATTTCTTGCAAACAGATTTAAACATTTTGTCACATACTGTGTCAGTACATGATAATAAGAGGAAAGTCAAATTCTGTCTTGGCATGGCAACTTAAGCATCCTGTGCCCTGTTCCTCAAGATAAGATGATCATAACTCCCATACTTTAACATAGACTTACAACTGTCGTAGTGCTAAGATCACAGGTCATTGTGACCTGTAATCTATTCCTTTATGAGTCAGCTGTTTTGACCAGCATCAGGTACTAGGAAACATTCTACCTGGAGTTCCACATGACGTATAATGAGACAGTGAGAGGATTGACCAATGTGAAACCCCGGGGAAACTGAGCACCACTGACCTCTGAGCAAACCATGTTCCAACTTGAGGGCCACAGACATCCGAGTCACTATGTGCCAAAGGTAACAGTCATTGTATCTAGAGCTGGTTATCGTTACATTTTGTCGGACCGATAATCGCTAGTGTCAGATCGATAATCGATCGATAATAATCGTTTGGACGGTCATTTCATAGTCAAATACCTACGTTAGCGAACTATCTTCTGAGTTGTCAGCACGTGTCAATTGTTAACGCTAGCAAGTTACTTACTTTTGGATCATCAAGTAGCGTCTTTGGATCATCAAGTAGCCTATCATCTCACGTTTCTGATCGTAATATGTTTTCGATCGGCCATTACAATTCCTGTTTATGGCGCGAAAATTCGAGAAAATCCATGAGAAGCATCCCGAATGACAACAAGGTGATCCACGCTATTGGTCTGACATAAATATGCTCCAAATCAAGTTTCCACGCGTAGGCACCAGTATAAGTATTATAATTATGCATTGTATCGAAAGTTCAAGAGAATTCATGAAACCAAAAATGGCTCTATTTTAACCCGCCTTACGAAAGTCACGTGTTTGTATGCAAATGCAACTCAAGGAATTCCCTCTTTCAGCCAATTAGAAAATAGCTAACCTGTAATACCTGGGTCGTATTGTGACGTTTTGTTGCGTGATTGGACCGATCCTACGATTAATCGCTCCAGCACTAATTGTATCATTACCTGAGCGGCAAAGATCACGAAACCATAATGACCTCAAGTAGATGCAACAGTCCACAGCTATCGTGTCCCCATCTGAATGGCACCATGACTCAAATAGACACCACTGGGCCACCATGTACCAAATGGACACCACTGAACCATCATGTACCAAATTGGCACCACTGGGCCACCATCTACCAAATGGGCACCTCTGGGTCACCACGTCCCAAATGGACACCTCTGGGCCATCATGTACCAAATGGACACCACTGGGCCACCATGTCCCAAATGGACACCACTGGGCCACCATGTCCCAAATGGGCACCCAAATGGACACCACTGGGCCACCATGTACCAAATGGACACCACTGGGCCACCATGTACCAAATGGACACCACTGGGCCATCATGTACCAAATGGACACCACTGGGCCACCATGTACCAAATGGACACCACTGGGCCACCATGTCCCAAATGGACACCACTGGGCCACCATGTACCAAATGGACACCACTGGGCCATCATGTACCAAATGGACACCACTGGGCCACCATGTACCAAATTGACACCACTGGGCCACCATGTACCAAATGGACACCACTGGGCCACCATGTACCAAATTGACACCACTGGGCCACCTCTGGGTCACCATGTACCAAATGGAGACCTCTGGGTCACCATGTTCCAAATGGACACCACTGGGCCATCATGTACCAAATGGGCACCTCTGGGCCACCATGTACCAAATGGACACCACTGGGCCACCATGTACCAAATGGACACCACTGGGCCACCATGTGGACACCACTGGGCCACCCCAAATGGACACCACTGGGCCATCATGTACCAAAAATGGGCCACCTCTGGACACCACTGGGCCATCATGTACCCAAATGGACACCACTGGGCCACCACCATGGACACCACTGGGCCATCATGTACCAAATGGGCACCACTGGGCCATCATGTCCCAAATGGACACCTCTGGGCCATCATGTACCAAATGGGCACCTCTGGGGTGACACCATGGGCCACCATGTCCCAAATGGACACCACTGGGCCACCATGTGTACCAAATTGAAATGGGCACCACACCACTGGCCACCATGTATTTGGGCACCATGTACCAAATGGACACCACTGGGCCACCATGTGGACACCTCTGGGCCATCATGTACCCAACCAAATGGACACCTGGGCCACCATGGGCCACCATGTACCAAATGGGCACCTCTGGGCCATCATGTACCAAATTGACACCACTGGGCCACCATGTACCAAATGGACACCACTGGGCTACCATGTCCCAAATGGACACCTCTGTGCCATCATGTACCAAATGGACACCACTGGGCCACATGTCCCAAATGGACACCACTCGGCCACCATGTCTCAAACGGCCACCATGTCTCAAATGGACACCACTGGGCCATCATGTACCAAATGGGCACCACTGGGCCACCATGTACCAAATGGACACCTCTGGGCCATCATGTTCCAAATGGACACATATGGGCCACCATGTCCCAAATGGACACCACTGGGCCATCATGTACCAAATGGGCATGTCTGGGCCACCATGTACCAAATGGGCACCTCTTGGGAATCATGTACCAAATTGACACCACTGGGCCATCATGTACCAAATGGAGAACTCTTGGTCACCATGTTCCCAAATGGACACCACTGGGCCACCATGTCCCAAATGGACACCACTGGGCCATCATGTACCAAATGGACACCACTGGGCCACCATGTCCCAAATGGACACCACTGGGCCACCATGTCCCAAATGGACACCACTGGGCCATCATGTACCAAATGGACACCTCTGGGCCATCATGTACCAAATGGGCACCTCTGGTTCACCATGCATTACCAAATGGACCACTGGGCCACCATGTAATAAATGGGCACCTCTGGGCCACCATCTACCAAATGGACACCACTGGGCCATCATGTACCAAATGGGCACCTCTGGGCCACCATGTACCAAATTGACACCACTGGGCCACCATGTTCCAAATGGACACCACTGGGCCACCATGTCCCAAATGGACACCACTGGGCCATCATGTACCAAATGGAGACCTCTGGGCCATCATGTTCCAAATGGACACCACTGGGCCATCATGTACCAAATGGGCACCTCTGGGCCACCATGTACCAAATGGGCAATAAATGGGCACCTCTGGACCATCATGTACCAAATGGACACCACTGGGCCACCATGTACCAAATTGACACCACTGGGCCATCATGTACCAAATGGACACCTCTGGGCCACCATGTACCAAATTGACACCACTGGGCCATCATGTACCAAATGGACACCACTGGGCCACCATGTACCAAATGGACACCACTGGGCCACCATGTACCAAATGGACACCTCTGGGCCACCATGTACCAAATTGACACCACTGGGCCATCATGTACCAAATGGACACCACTGGGCCACCATGTACCAAATGGACACCTCTGTGCCACCATGTACCAAATGGACACTACTGGGCCATCATGTACCAAATTGACACCACTGGGCCACCAATGTACCAAATGACACCACTGGGCCACCATGTACCAAATGGACACCACTGGGCCATCATGTACCAAATGGGCACCTCTGGGCCACCATGTACCAAATGGGCACCTCTGGGCCATCATGTACCAAATGGACACCACTGGGCCATCATGTACCAAATGGACACCTCTGGGCCATCATGTACCAAATTGACACCACTGGGCCACCATGTACCAAATTGACACCTCTGGGCCACCATGTACCAAATGGACACCACTGGGCCACCATGTACCAAATGGACACCTCTGGGCCATCATGTACCAAATTGACACCACTGGGCCACCATGTACCAAATGGACACCACTGGGCCATCATGTACCAAATGGACACCACTGGGCCATCATGTACCAAATGGACACCACTGGGCCACCATGTACCAAATGGACACCACTGGGCCACCATGTACCAAATGGACACCACTGGGCCACCATGTACCAAATGGACACCACTGGGCCACCATGTACCAAATGGACACCACTGGGCCATCATGTACCAAATGGACACTACTGGGCCATCATGTACCAAATGGACACCACTGGGCCACCATGTACCAAATGGACACCACTGGGCCACCATGTATCAAATGGACACTACTGGGCCACCATGTACCAAATGGACACCACTGGGCCACCATGTATCAAATGGACACCACTGGGCCATCATGTACCAAATGGACACCTCTGGGCCATCATGTACCAAATGGACACCTCTGGGCCACCATGTCCCAAATGGACACCACTGGGCCACCATGTACCAAATGGACACCACTGGGCCATCATGTTCCAAATGGACACCTCTGGGCCACCATGTCCCAAATGGACACCACTGGGCCATCATGTACCAAATTGACACCACTGGGCCACCATGTACCAAATGGACATCACTGGGCCACCATGTACCAAATGGACACATACTGGGCCACCATGTCCCAAATGGACACCACTGGGCCACCATGTACCAAATGGGCACTTCTGGGTCACCATCTACCAAATGGGCACCTCTGGGTCACCACGTCCCAAATGGACACCTCTGTACAATCATGTACCAAATGGAGACCTCTGGGTCACCATGTTCCAAATGGACACCACTGGGCCACCATGTCCCAAATTGACACATCACTGGGCCATCATGTACCAAATAGACACCACTGGGCCATCATGTACCAAATTAACACCACTGGGCCACCATGTACCAAAATGGACACCACTGGGCCATCATGTACCAAATGGACACCACTGGGCCACCATGTACCAAATGGACACCTCTGGGCCACCATGTACCAAATGGACACCACTGGGCCATCATGTACCAAATGGGCACCTCTGGGCCACCATGTAATAAATGGGCACCTCTGGGCCACCATATACCAAATGGACACCACTGGGCCATCATGTACCAAATGGGCACCACTGGGCCACCATGTAATAAATGGGCACCTCTGGGCCACCATATACCAAATTGACACCACTGGGCCACCATGTACCAAATTGACACTACTGGGCCACCATGTACCAAATGGACACCACTGGGCCACCATGTACCAAATGGACACCACTGGGCCACCATGTATCAAATGGACACTACTGGGCCATCATGTACCAAATGGACACCACTGGGTCACCATGTACCAAATGGACACCACTGGGCCATCATGTACCAAATGGGCACCTCTGGGCCATCATGTACCAAATGGACACCTCTGGGCCACCATGTCCCAAATGGACACCACTGGGCCATCATGTACCAAATGGACACCACTGGGCCATCATGTTCCAAATGGACACCTCTGGGCCACCATGTCCCAAATGGACACCACTGGGCCATCATGTACCAAATTGACACCACTGGGCCACCATGTACCAAATGGACACCACTGGGCCACCATGTACCAAATGGACACCACTGGGCCATCATGTACCAAATGGACACCACTGGGCCACCATGTACCAAATGGACACCACTGGGCCACCATGTACCAAATGGACACCACTGGGCCACCATGTACCAAATGGACACCACTGGGCCACCATGTACCAAATGGACACCACTGGGCCACCATGTACCAAATGGACACTATACTGCAAAGACATCTCAAACAATACAGATTGCAATATTTCTTCTGAGAACTGGTACATTGGGTAAACAATTAGATAAAGTTTCATCAATATGTCAATGGTTTAAGTAAAAATCTACACATTTAATTCACCTGTTTTCAGTTTACCTTAGCAAATGATTGACAAACAGCAAACTTTACGTAATATGAATTGTATGACAACAAAAGAACTTTTGCGATTTTAGCATCAGAATTGTATGATTTGTTGTTAGAGCCTTAGTGTGCAGAAAATAGATAGTACATATACAATCGGTGTTAATTACTGTTAAACATTTTATCTCCCAACATATCGAAATATGTATCACAATATAGTGCAATACAATTTATTCACTAATACACAGCCCTTGACATCATGTCCCCAAATTGAGCACCATCATCCAGCCAGGAAGATATGTGTCACAAGGTTATTACTTGTATACTGGCACTCTCTATTATTGCGGGCTCTCTATTATCGCGGCACGCGAAAACATCGGGAAAGCAGAAACACCATGCCCCGCATTGGCTGTTTACATATGCAAATTACGTAAAATATATTCATCGCTCTTGAAAAAGTCATTTATTTCATTGGAATGTTATGTGTAATCGGAGAAATATTAAAGCATTCATCTTTTCAGTAAGTTCTGGAACATTTTGAACCTAGTATGACCCCTACTGCCCTTACATCTAGCATGAATCAAAACTTACTTCGAGAGCAATCCTGCGACAACTATAAGGTCATTTGCATACTTTCCGTGCTAAAAAATATAACAGGAAGTGACGTATTATGCAACTTCACTCTGCACACGGCAGCAACTTGTATGGTACGTTTCAAGCCGGAAAAACAATATTTTGTAACGTTATTGTTACCTTGTATCCAAATGAATAGAAGTTTCAGATGTTTGGGTTAAAAACATGATGATATTACTAATGTGAATGAAATTTCTAAATATTTTTTAATGATCAAACTATTTAGATTCGTTACTTGTCTTAGTAAACGTTTTCACAGTGTCATCTGCTTGTACCGCTTGTAATAGTGAGAAAATAGCAACACCGCGATAATTGAGAGTTGCTTCAATTTCCGGGTCAAACGAGACAATCGGAATTGCCGCAATGGTATTAAACGAGTTGCGACCATGTGTCACATTATTTGTGACAGAAATGAAGATTAAACATCAGTCAACTGAAAATATATATTAAATGCTAAATGTCAGTAGCCGTTCATAATCCCGATGGCGACAGGATTAACTACCCGCTATAATAGAGGGTCCCATGATACATATGACAGTGAAACAGAAAGATTTGGAGCATGTATCTACTGAATTCACTACATCAAAATGTGAGACGGAAAATGTAATAGGTAATTGTGAACATGTAATGACGTTATATGAGATTACAAGTTATGAAAGTTAGTGAAAAATGATAATAAAGCATGTAGTACTTACAGATCCTGAAACAATCAGATTAGACTGGGGGTTGAAGTTGCAGCAGAATACATAGTTACTGTGTCCCTTCAAGGTTTTCAAACTCTTGCCCTTTAAAAATAACAATACAGATTGTGTTCAAAATATTGTCCTTTTTCACACTGGACAATACAATCTCATTAAAAGCAGACCTTTTACTCAGAAACCATACCTCTCAATCAGAAGATCTGCGGACATCCCCACTGGAGGTCATGTCAGATGAACTTTGTAACCAGCCTATCTCCATCAAGGCCACTGAATTCTGGGGTCATTGTGATGAGTTTCATATCGCAATTTATTGCAGAACCAATTCATTTATTGTGAAATGTACCACAACATCTTGCATGTGTCCATACACATTTCTGATAACCAGCTACCCCAGCGCCCAAGAGATTGACATCATGAGAATTGATCTGTGCAATTTAGGTGAGGATAAAATGTTTCAACTAAATCAGTGAGTCTGACCACTCGACCCCCTTTGTCGATGAGGAAAGAAGGTCTACCACGGCAAATTTGACAAAATCAACAAAGGAGGGAAAACAACAGAATCACGAAAACACCATCATTCATCCTATGATTTATCAATTACAAAATAAGTTAAGACTGACTGACTGACTGAGTTTAGTTTTACGCCGCTTTTAGCAATATTCCAGCAATATCACGGCGGGGGACACCAGAAATGGGCTTCACACATTGTGCCCATGTGGGGAATCGAACCCGGGCCTTGGCGGCGTGACGAGCCAACGCTTTAACCACTAGGCTAATCCACCGCCCCTAATAAGTTAAGAACACCTGATTCTTTCAAATTTCTGTACGTAATCTTTGATGCTATTATATAAATACTTATTGAACACATTTAATGTGAAAGACTTTGATGTTTTTTCAGTCTTCATTTGAGTGGTATATTCACCCTGATGTTCATATGGAAAAACATCTCTCTCTTATGTTATTACAAGCACAATGAACTCACTGTGGCAAAGTCCCAGATTTTGAGAGTCTTGTCGTCAGAGGCACTGACAAGAAGTCGACTGTCTGTGGACCATGACACATCTGATATACCCTGAAACAACAAGTGTAGAAGTGAGCACAGCTCATATACCCCCGCTTCCCACTTTGGGACATGGAAATGACTGATGATATATATAATGTGACAAGGATCAGCAGCTCACAAGACTTTCTCCTTGACTCTACTAAACTTTATATACATGTTAGATAATAGTTTAGCCATGAAAAAAAAAAAAAAAAAAAAAAAAAAAAAAAAAAAAAAAAAAATTAAAAATTAAAATAGCAAAAGGCACATCAATGGGTAGTGATAAACATGCGTGTGAAGTTTGGTGAACCTAGCATCTAAACTTTGAGATATGCTCTGGACAAAGTTTCAGGAACACATTTGGCACAATGTCGCGTTTCCATGGAAACAGCAAAAAAAAATTAAAAAATTCTGACACATCCATGGGTAATGATTAACATGTGTGTGAAGTTTGGTGAACCTGGCATGTAAACTTTAAGAGAGATGCTCCGGACAAAGTTTTGGGATGGACGGACGGACAGAATGAACGCTATATACCCCGTTACATTGTAGCGGGGGTATAATAACCATCCTGATGGCATAACCTAAGAATGTAAAACAAAGTCCAAGTAATCCTGTGTTACATTAATGAGGAGATATGATTTTCAAAATGTGTCACGTTACATTGCAGCATGCTGAAGCCGGTATCTTTGTTGTTTAAGGCCACACTAGGCAATACTCCAGCTATATGATGACATGTGTCAATCACCCTATCCCGTAAATCAAGGATGGAATCTGATTAAAACACACTTTGACTGAACTCGATAGGAATGAAATATCAGTTACTTCACTATTAAAATGCATACCATTAACAGCAAAATAATCAGACTCTCAGTTGTAAGCTGTCATAGACAGATGAAGCAATTTAGAAACTCAGAGAGTAAAAAGAAAACTCACCAACTTGTGACCGCTTATTGTTTTCTCAAATTTGCCATCATAAGCACCCCAAATCTTTATTAATTTGTCCGCAGCTGAAAAAGAAATGGACAGATGAACTTCAAATGCCTTCTCCTTGTTTGCATTAAGTGGAACATTTTCAAGATTAACCACTTGTGACAGTTCAGAATCTTTCAAATAATGGGGAAGTTAATCCTTATGCGAGTAATGTAAGTAAACCACTAGTAAACAACTCAGTTAGCCCCTTTGGATGTATGACTGAATAATCAGTTTTTGTTTCTTGTTTAACGCCGCACTCAGCAATATTCCAGCTACATGACGGCAGTCTGTAAATAATTGTGTCTGGACCACACAATCAACAACACAAGCATCGATCTATGCAATTGGGATATGATGATGTGTGAACCAAGTGATCAAATCGGGACAACAAACGTCATGACTGGGTCATCCATGTCCCTCATCAGTTTCGAAAGAGTGAGTTTGCGCTGTTTTGCCATGGTTACAAAACAAATACAGCATTTAGTGCCATATTACCATGGCCACCTGTACTAAATACAAACTGGGAAAGGTGGCTAAGTGACCAACTTCTTTCAGAGGCATGTAGAAGTTGGAGCAGTAAGGATTGGTTTTGGTGTGTTGTTTTACGCCGCACTCAGCAATATTCCAACTAAATGGTGGCGGTCTGTATATAATGGCCAGACAGTGATCAACCGCTTGAGCATCGATCTACGTAATTGGGATACGATGACATGTGTCAACCAAGTCAGCGAGCCAGACCACCCAATCCCGTTATTTGCCTCTTACGACAAGCAGGTGTTACTGAAGACCACATTCTAACACGGATTTTCACGGGTAGGAGCAGTACGGAAGGAAAACACTATATGGATGAACAACTTCTTTATCAAACATTCTGTAAATATAGAAGTTGTTCATCCATATATTGTTATTCTTCCAAACAAGTGACTGATGACATAAGTATCTAACATAACATCTCATCTGAGTCAAGTGATGAAGTGAGTTTTACGCCGCACCCAGCAATATTCCAGCTATATGGTGGTGGTCTGTAAATAATTGGGTCTGGACCAGAAAATCCAGTGATCAACAGCATGAGCATTGATCTGCACAATTTGGAACCGATAACATGTGTCAACCAAGTCAGCGAGCCTGACCACCCGATCCTGTTAGTCGCCTCTTACAACAAGCATGGGTTACTGAAGATCAATATTCTAGCCCAGACCTTCACGGGTTCAAGTGATGAAGACTAAGGTCACAAAATCACCTGATCCAAATATCTAAAAACGTGCAGTGAGGGCTGAGGACTTTTTCTGACCTGGAATATAACAGGATGACTCAACACTATTGAATTGACACTTACATGAGCTAGCCAGCCATTCACCATTTGGACTAAACTTCACTGATGAAACAGCCTTTGTGTGCCCAGCTAGTGTAAATTTGAGAGTGTAATTGGGTTTCTGGAAGAAAACACATAAATATTATTCATGTGGGACTGCTTCAAGTGCTGATCAAGGATAATTTAACAGGGCTCCAGATTAGGGCCGTATTGGTGTATGTGGGGATAAAAAATATGCACGATACAGTAGGAAATAAAGTAGAAAACGTAGCAGATACGCACCACTGCAATGGTGTACGGTCTTAGAATCATATACAGACATACTTATATGAAAAGGTATTGTTTTATTGTTTATTGACCTGTTTACACAAGACTAGCAATGTTGTGGTGCATATATAAAACGAAGCACAAGATTACTGATACTCCATTAAATTCCATTCAGTACTCTAAATGTATTCTTAAGGTTTTCCAGTACTCCTATATTGAAAAAATAAGGAGTACGTACTCCTGATGTTGAAAAATTATCTGGAGCCCTGACTTAAATTAGGCCTATTTAACAGATCAGTGACATAAATTGATGAAAAACTTTCTGTCCCTACTGATTATAATCAGTACCACAGAGAATGTCCATCATTAAGGAGTGCTTAGAACAGTGCAAAACTTTATAAAAATCAAAACTATCAATCCCATTTAAAAAGCGTATATTTGCCAGTGATACTATTCACGGATGTAATTTGGTCATGTGAGCGAATGAACATTAACGCAAACACAGCAATGTTGCAACTGATTCAAAGTATTTCACAAGATCAGCAATATGGTTGTTATCAGAATTTCATCTGGTAACATACAAGAGGAGTTGATGAAGGTTTTGACGTTACTGTTGCAGTGCTGCCCTGACTTAGACTTGATGATGATGTGGTTGTAGCTGGTGTGGTTAGTGACGGCTTCGTGTCTCCATCCCCAGTCTTCAGGCCTACATTCTCATCAGCCGACATTTTGACAATAAATTACCTGTCAATACAACAAATGAAAAGGTGAGAACGTGCAGGCAAGTCATTAAGCACCTTAGGGTGATCACAGAAAACAACATACAAGTACATGTATACTTAATATAGAAAAGGCTTTATTTGATTGAACCAAAGTTTTGTGATTGAGCAAAGACTGACTGACTGTGTATGGTTTTACGCCGCTTTTAGCAATATTCCAGCAACATCATTGAGGGGGACACCAGAAATGGGCTTCAGATTGAGCAAAGAAATCTTACACGGATGATCTGTATATCAATTGTCATTATCCGGTGAGGCCATGAGAAAGATCAGATTAATTTTCACTACAGTCATTTCAAATCCGTACTGTTTCACTTCCATTGGACTCTTGAAGTATTTATCATTTATACTAATTATTGCAGTATAGAATCCAATATTGTGTTTCGGATGAAACCAGAATAATTTTCACCATTTTGAGCAGTATTTTAGAGAATCTCTGGTTGAAAAATAACAAAAAATGATAACATTGAAGTGGGTGATTCCATGCATTAAAGGTGATCACTGAAAACAGCATATAGTTCACACGCTTAATACAAACAAAGGCTTTACTTGATTGAATCAAAATTTTGTGATTGGGCAAAGAAATTTTACATGGATGATCTGTGTATCAATTGTCTTTATCAGAACAGAACAATTAGATAAATTATCAAATAATCATATCAAATCCATACTGTTTCAGATGAAACCAGAATGATTTTAACCGATTTTAAGCACCTCTGACAAAATAATTATTTGACATGTCTTGACCATGTAGACAGTAAGGCTGTGTATTGGCAAATAAATTGTATTGCAATATATTGCGATTCAGGTACCCGTATTGCGATATATTGGGACCTTAAGTGTTTGACAGTGAGTGACACTAATTGTGCATGTCAATCCTATATTCTGCCTTACAAGTCCCTAAACATATATGTTATGGTTCTGATATTAACAGCCAGGGGAGGATACAGCTTTTTGAGAAAGGGGGGGCACACTTCATTTTCACGAGAGTTTCAATGGTCATTTAATAAATGTTCAGGATCTGCCTATGACAGCAACCTGAAAATTAGGTTGCATATTCATGGATTCTATTTTCTTTTTTATACAAGTTATAGTATTACACTATGAAGTTTTGTCATTGAATAACGAAGGAAAACATCTGTTGTGAATGAAAGTATGTGTAGATTTTAATTTAAACCATAAAGATAATCACAAAAACTTCATGTATGTTCTCTACCCAATATACCGGTTCTACGAAAAAAAATATTGCAAGATGTATTGTTTGAAAAATTTATTGTGATATACTGGTATACAGGTAAGACCGTGCAGCCCTAGCAGACAGTGTTATAATTGTCAGTTAAATGATCAGTGACCACCAAATTAAACGTGTGTTAGCTATCATCCTATCTGGATTGGATTATATACCATTTTTAGTATCTTGTTTTGATAAGTAACACCTAAATTAAAGTAAAATCACATCAAAACTTCATAAACATTAAATTCTAGTGATTGCAAAGAACAAACTAAATTCATGAAAGGATATGGTATGAATTACAGAATGCACAAGTGAATCAAAACAGCCCTAATAAGTAATACTATTTACTCTCCAGAAGGTATGTTCAACTCTTGAAAAAGATATTGCACATCAAAGATGTATTCTGTCCAGATCTCACAGCATTCGTGTTTCAACTTAACCTTTAGAGGATTCTTAACATACTCCATTATTTCAAAAACTCCACTTATCCACCAGTTTAACACAGTCATCCAAGTTATTACTGCATCTCTCAATCATTACCTTACATTACATTGAACAGTAAAGCACCTATGCATTCAGAAAATCTTTGTTTAACATTCAGAAGTGAAACACATACAGGGAGGAAATTTGTGGATATCAGTTTCTATGTTATGAGTAACACTAAATGTCGTGTTCCTCATGATACAGCGGGCATCTCCAACCCCTTATGCATAGTACTGAATAAAACGCCCCAAATTAAACTAAATTTCCAAATAATTCTTTCCATGCGTGTATTTCTTTCCAATAGAAACATTATTAAAAAATGATTTTTGACCTACCCACACAAGTTGTCGCTGACATGACTCATATTTAATTTTAACTCACGACCTAACTGACTTCCAACCATAAGTGTGGTAAATTAAGAACATAAATAGATTGTTGTTTGGCCAGCATTACTGAGCAAGCGGAAAGGTTCATGTTATGGACGAGAATAAAATCATTTCCTGTGCATGAAATATTTTGTGGACTGCACATAAAAGAACTATATGCAATGTTACTGCGAGTTAATTATCAATATCCTTCATTATTGAGACAGAAGTTCAGTGGTTGAGGGAAAGAAATAATCTGTCTTTCACCAGTGGCTGCAAATAAACAGTCGTTCGAAGTGGATTTCAAGGTTGTTGGATATAGTGCCTATCAAAGCAGTGTTCTGTCAATCGAATAGTTTTTCATACATTAAAGCACTCGACTAATTTACCGTTAGTTTACACGTCCAGAACATACACAAGTGTTGTTCTTACAATGTATTCCCGCTATCACGCATGGACTCTTCACGCATGCGTACAAGCAAAACGCGATATACCGCGATCTCGCGTGGTTGTATATGGAAGAGCTTTTCGCTCAAAGACAAGGCACGAAGTTGAAATCTTGGGGAAAATCCCTGTAAGCACTCACTTCTTTGTAATATACGAAGTCTAGGCTCTGCAGCTAGTTTGGAACTCTAACAATACTTTTAGACGGTGTATAATATATGCTATCACGTGATCGTCTGAGCCAATCATGTCAGTACCAACTTGCCCAACAGGCTGGAAGTTTCAGACCTCTCGAGGTCCACGGTTGTGTTCATGGGGACGAACAGGCGATAAATGCCGAATTTGTGTACTGTCATGTTTTGAACACTAATGTGAAGCATGTTTAAGTTACTATGTTTATAAATATGATCCAAATCAACTATATTTTGCATGAAATATTGTAGGTGACCCATCATGTGATGTAGCTGACCAATCAAATTCACGGCTTTTTGAACGAACGTATAAAAGCATTCTGGTCCTCGCTTGGGAGTGCGATGCTGTTGACTGATACCCATGGTGTGCTGGAAAATCTGGCCCAAGCGATGGACCCGAAGAGCCATCCGGCGCTGCAAGGGTACCAGCAGAATGCACTAAACATCAACGCAGGGTACTATGACAACATTTTTACATTTTGGATATTAATTATCGTAGCATCTATGAAGAAAGGCAACGGGATCGGCTTATTGTGCAGTCCGCCATTGTTCGCCAGTCGGTCCTCACATCGGCTCTGTGAAATATCATAAATTACTGGATACCTAACCCAATACCAACCTATATTAAGGTTGTTTATTTTGTGTAAGTGACTTCAGATAACGAACTTGTGTTTTGTACGGTTATTATTGTTCGTGTTCCGGCAAATATTTAATGTTTCCCAGACACGGTAAGCTATCAATAAAATATCGTGTGCATTGCATCAGAAATGCGTCTTATTTGTCATTGTTACTGCCGTCTAGGTCTTTTCACCTTCTTCTGGACTTATTATGTGGATAGTTGACCATCTAAGAACGTTTTGCATGCAATGTTTGTGCATAAATTTATCTACTGAAGGTGAGAGAGGTTCGCACTTCGTGAAAGACCTCATTACATCGTAGCTTGTTTTCCTGGATAAAGCTTGTACCGCCATTTTGGTTGGTAATAGTCACATGTTTTGACTAAATGACTCATTATTGAACACGTAGGCACATTCCTGTTACTTTCGTTGTGTCGCGAGACACATTTTCTGAAAAATCCGTTTGATATAGCTACTTCCTGCTTTGGTATAAAGTCTAGTCGCGCGACAATGTGACCTGTTTTTAAAGAGGTCAAGTGCATGGACTGTACAATGCAAAACCGCCTTGCTTTGTTTCATAGATGATCGTGTGAGACGTTTTTTAAGACTTTTGAAACTTGTGTAGGAATATTATGATTTTAATTTTGACATTCTCAAGGTATGGGTCGTATGTTACAAATTATGTATTATAACTGCTCTTCTGTGAAGTGAAAAAAGGGGGCATTTGAATCTGCATCGCTAGTCATCAACTTAAACGGTTGTGTACTGTGTCAACCAGAAGCATATTTGTTGGTTTGCAGTTTCCTTTTTCTTGCAGTGACTCACAAACACACTTTGCTGACATTGTCTTGATACAAGTCATTACTTGAGTCCTTGTTGACAGCTTTGTACAATCTATGTAGCAGACTTCCTAAAACTTTACATGAGTGAACTGTGCATGGACTATTCATGTTTGGGATAAATGGTATTTTACTTTCAGTTGCCTAATGCAACATAACATTAATTAGCTACGAGTACTAAGCATGAAACCAGGAAATATGTTTCGTCTTATAAATAGTGTCCAAGACAGCTGAAAATGAATCCTGGCACACTCTACTTTCTCAGGTTTTTCAACCCAGTCGGAAATTTCATTTGAATTCAAGAAATATTTTACTGCCTTTCCATGCCAGTCAATGCACATGTTATCTGTTACAATAAGAACACTAATAACATCCACACAGGTTTGCTTCATGCCTTGCATCTTGTGTATTCGCATGAAAGTTCCATCTGAACTCTTGATACTGCTTTGCATCTAGTTCACACACATTCCAAACATTACTGTGATGAGGGCACTGAATTAGACTTTGACTTTTTAAGCATCGAATCTGACAGCTGAACACCGTGACGTGAGGTTTTAGTACTTTGGTCTGCATCTGCAACTCTATAATTGTTTCACAACTTTTTGGAGAGGGGGACTGTAGGTGCTGAAATGTGTATTGTGATATGTATATTCTGGGGGTGAAACTTTGACTAGCCTATTTGGGGATGAAACACTATTAGAAGCTATGGTATTCGAATAGCCCTGTGTTTGGCAAGCAGGAACTTGTATCAGAGCCTTGTGACTAAAGTATTGAAGTGCACCTGAATGAGAGTAAGATTTCAACACTTGTTAGCATTGATTTGGCAAATATTATATTCCAATCCACTTAATGCCAAAATGTTTGTCTTCATCTGTGTGTGCGTTACTATTAAGAAGTTTTACAAAGGGTACTCTACCCAGATCTCCTTGAAGTTAATATATTTTCAAGGTATAACGTGATGGTAGGGAAAAGTTAACGTTGAAATTTTAATGTGGTTTTATGAAGTTCCAAAATCATTTTCAGATTAAACAATTTTCTCTAAGAAGTTAGTTCTTCACATTTTAATCTTTATAATTGGGTTTGGGGTGAGTGAGGTTAGGTGATTTGTTACGTGCATGTCATCGTTTCCCAGATATGTACATTGATGCAGATAAGGTTTTGTCATTTAGCTGGAATATTATGGACTGTTACATAAAATGAAACATCTAAAAAGGTTTCTAATATCAACTAATGGGCTTATACTATCACAATGTCCTATCACTTTCCACTGTCAAATCAACTCTTCTTGACACAGCAAGTACTTCTGCTTGTTACTACATTATTGAGATCGGTTGCACCAGATTACAGACAGCTCTTTTATGCTTTGAAACCTCAAATGATCTAAAACCTTATTCACCACTACCCCTTAGTTTGAGACAAATATCAACAGATCCAGCATTCTTTACACCAAGTTTAATACATGCCTGAGCAGGCGAAAGGTCGAAATGTTACTGAATGTTACTCTTGTCACAAAATCAAGTTATCTTTTGGAAACCAAGGTATAAATATTGGATCCTTCATATATATTAGAAATGCATCCATCCATGGATAAATATGGGAACCAGGAACTAGTTAGGTGTTTCTGCAGAGAACCCATAACTTCATGGTATGTCTTGCACTCAATCTGAGTAAACTTAGGCTCAGTATTATTCGTTATACTGAGTCTAACAAAGAAGACTTGCAGAATGTCACGTCAGCTAACCTTTGAGCGATCCAGTCAAACGCGAGACAGCTGAACGGATTTAACCAATCAGACGACTACATGTTAGGGTTCGGCGGGACTTGCAAAACAGTTTTTGAATTTTATCTTCCCTGGTCGCTGACACTGATCTATCAACAAACGAAAATCCGCATAAAACACATTTGACCTGCAGTATATACGCTCATGGGTTTCTAATGACATGGTTACTATTTGCTTATATTTTCGCAAGATGACATCCTTGAATATTGACAAAAACGCTATTTTCAGCGACTGTTTACTCATTGCGTGTATTACTCGGAAGCTATTGTGCAGAAAATAGCATTCAGTATTTTATGTTAAGGTTGAAACGGTATGTGTGAATGTTAATTTTCGTGTTCTGGTAAGCGGTGTTCTGATTAGTCCGTCCAAAAGGTTAACTGACGCGACCTTCTACAAGGTTTTGTTAGACTCAGTATAGCAGTGTAACGAATAATACTGAGCCTAAGTTTACTTAGACTGGTCTTGCACTAAGTAATAATCAAATCAAAATGGTCAACATTATGACATACAGTAACATTCCAAGTCAAAGTGAGGGTTTGGATTTTGTCATTGGCTGGCCATTAGTTCACCTGATCAATTAGTTTTCCATCTGTTTTCTGGAAATTGTCCTCATTCGACTTCGAAATTTGAGAATGTTATTACACTAAAACACAGACTTAACAGGCATGCACGCATGCACACACATATGCACAAAAAACCCATAAGGCCTGTGTCTGGGGTAAAAAAGGAACTTTTCAGTATTTTTTGGAGATTGGAATATATGGGGTGAAAATTGTTCTGAAAGGAAAAGTTTTATATGCCTGCTCATTTAGCCATTCTTACAAGTTTACAGATACCACATTAGTTTTTCAGTCCATTTCCATATTGATGTGAAATTGATTTGTAAATGGGAGGTGTGAAAATGCTTTAAACACTCTTTGAAATGCCAGTTTTCCAAAATTGTACTTTGTTTGGAAAAGGCAGCGAGAGCAGGCATGTTAGATTTTAAGTATTAAAAGGAAGCAAAATTGCATGTTACTCTTATCAGTATGGTACTGTGGTTAGTCATTTTCAGGCATTTTGTTTGAGGGTGACTGCCATTCTCTTATAGCATGATTTCTGTAGTTTTTAACTGAATTGAAACCATTTTACCTTTTCCAGATTTGGCAGCAAAACAAAGGAGGTTGCTCATTCTCAATGCAAATGAAGTCAAAAGCAATCGATGTATATGCATGGTGAGAATTTTAAGTTTGTTTGGCAGTCACCATCATACAAACTTTATTTTCTTTTAATAAAAGCAGATTATTTTTAATCAGTATTTTCATCATGTGTTGTACTGTAAGTAAATAGAATGTATTGTCATGTTTTGTGGAATACTTATAAATGAGTGAAACATTAAGGTTCATGTTTGTTTTGTGTTTCAGGTCAAATGGGGATGCAGAGAGCCCCACAAGGACAGATGGTGATGAACCAAATTCAGTAAGTCGTGGCACCATGAAGGGCATCTCAACTCATGAGAACACAGTGGTGAGCATCAGCAGATGTCGCCCTCCTTCGTTTGTTTTTAATAAGTATTAAAAATATTGCATAGAATAACAGTGGAGTGTAAATATTGAGACAAACCATGGTTAATATGAATGTCACAAAGGATGGTGTATACACAATGGCCATATACATTGCAAATGCTAATTTTGTATAGTTATTCATGTAAAATAACTTATGTTGGGGTAGAAAACTAGTCAAGAACAGTGACATTCCATTGATTGTATTATTAAGGCTCATGAAAGGTTACCCTAAACTGGAATTGCCAAGTTTGTGCAGGATATTCCCTGAGCTCCTTGTAGATTAGGTCTGCTATTAGCTGCTGTCACTTCAGTCATTTCTCTATAAACATCAGATATTTTGTTTACAGCCCAACAATGTGAACCACAGTGGTGGTGATGGGGATGATGGGGGTGAGGGGCCTGCTGCCCCCACCTCCCAGAAACGAGGGCGTCTAACTAATCAGCTGCAATACATACTCAAAACAGTCATGAAGGCTGTGTGGAAACATCAGTTTGCTTGGCCATTCCATGTACCTGTTGATGCAGACAGACTCAATTTACCGGTATGTTCAGCATTCTATTGAGAATATTGCAGAGCTACAGATAACTTTTTGGGTCATCGAGTTAAGTACTTGCTTGTGTTCATCTCAGTTGGGTATCCTAATTTGCCTTTGAGTAGCCAAACAAATTGTACCCACCTCACTCAAACTCAATTGGCCATTTTGTCATTTTCCATTAATTCTAAAAATATGATAAAGTTTAAATGTTAGTGTTTGTTATTTATATCTGTAATATGAGAAACGATAAGTAATTCTGCAAGTTGCCAAGTTTATGTCCTGAAACAGAACCTCTCAATATACCTCAGTTATTTTATCTATCCACTGGTACGCAAGCTAAGATTTTACATTTTTGCGGTACGCATGCAAGATCACATCTATTGAGTATTTACAAAGATTCAAGCATACTTGTACGCAATAGACTTAATAGGAATTGAGTTTTCACATAAATATTTGTGTAATTTACGCAAATACGCAGCTTATCTGTACCTCTGGTATTTAGGTATCTCAACAAGGTTTCATTTGGATTCTGAACCTTTCACGTTAGCTCATTAGTAAGTGCAGCAAGTAATACTAGATTTGTTTTTGTGACAACCTTAATTCACTTCTACATATGTTTCATGCGTAAATTTCACCCCGCAGGGTAAGCTGACTAATTCCTTAGAGTAGACATGTAACCATTTACAGAGGTTTACAACGTTTGTGTTTCAGGATTACCACAAGATAATCCGAACACCAATGGATCTGGGAACAATAAAAAAGAGACTTGAAACAAATTATTACTGCTCTGCACAAGAATGTATTCAGGATTTCAGCACAATGTTCACTAACTGCTATGTATACAACAAGCCAGGGGATGTAAGTATCTGCATTTATCTTATCTTGTTATTACCTTATGATCATTCTAGTGATTTTGTTTGTTGGTCTGGAAGAATCCTCAATGTCGTGTTATGTTTGCCAAAAAAATTAGAGAACAGTATATAGGGGCTGCCTTTTACCCTGCATGGTTTGTCAAAAAGACAATTTCGCCTCTATAGCTCAAAGTATTTATTTCTGCATCCTCAGATTAACTCCCTAAATAGGGCTGCGTATGCAAGTCATAATAAGCTAAAAACCTTTACTTGGTTTTAGCTATTTGCTGGAGGGGCTGACTATTAATGCACAAAAAGTTATGCCATGATTGCATTGTTTCTTCAGGACATCACTCTGATGGCACAGACCTTGGAGAAGTTGTTCCTGCAGAAGGTGGCCCAGATGCCTCAAGAGGTATTGTATTTCCATCTGCTTTCATATTTTTCTGTTTATTTTTAAACTAGTTGTCGATATTTGCATGTTCCATGTTATCATCTTTGTCCTACACTGTCAATTTAGAATGTCTGCATGTAATCCATACCAGTCTAGATGATGGAAAGTCAGGTTAATTCACCTTTACAGATTAAAGAAAAAATATTCAAATGGAAGTGGTGTAAAGATTGTATGTATTTTAACCCGATTTGGTTTAATAAATATTGTAACATTTTGATAGTATGCAAACCAATTTCTTTCAGGAGGTTGAATTGTCAATCCCTCAGAAGAAAACTCCAGGTCCTAAGGGATTCCGTGGTCGTGGGGGTGGAGGTGTTGGGAGAGGACTAGTGACTCCTCGTGGTGTTGGGACACTTGGACCGAAAAGTGCTTCTGTAGTTGCTGCAGCAGCAGCGCAGGCCGTGGCTGCTTCTCAGCCTTCCACTCAAAATACTGTTGTGCCCCCACCTGTCATGCCACCTAACAATACAACGCCAACGCCAACACCAACACCAGCACCAGCACCAATACCAGCACCAGTGACACCACCAGCTCCACCGGTTTCTGTGGCGTCATCTGGGCAACAACAACCTCCACCTCCTCCTCCAGTGCTTACTCACACGTCACCACCCCCATTAGCAGTACCCCCTTCAATTATACAGCAGCCATCTATGCCAGTGAAGCCCTCGCCACCACCTCTTCAGCCACAACTTCCCACTCCTATTTCTGACATAACAGACAACTCAGTTATGCCGCCGTCTGTGCTACCTCCAGCTCAGATTACTAAAGTAAGTTAGTTATCTGAGATATATTTATGGTTAAGTGATGTAGAAGGAAGAAAGGTATTTGTGAAGATAACATTTTGGGCCTGGAAGATCCCAGTTTTGTGTTTAATTGTAGATTTGTGGGCAGGTTCATTTGTAAATGTTTCTTAAGGGCATATTTTGTGATCTTTAAATATGAGATGCTAATTAAAAGCACTGATTAATCGTTGTAATGTTATGAAACTAAGCATTTTGTCATGTTACAGACTAAAAAAGGAGTGAAGCGGAAAGCAGACACCACTACTCCAGCTGCCATAGTAACAAATTCAGCTGGCATCGACCCTGCATCAATATATTCACCTAAAATCCCAGGCAGACTGCCTCCAACAAGACGAGAAAGTAATCGCCAGATCAAGAAGCCCAAGAGGGACTTGCCAGATGACCAGGTCGTTGTATTAGATGAAGTGCGTCATATGAGGCCTTTCCTGGCTTTTTGCTTTAAGATATTATACTTGTGTTCAAGCCAGACATTGTTCATGAAATGCATTATATGCTGTTAATCAGATATTTCAAAACCACTGTGGCTGTTTTCATTGAAATCACACCAGTTATTTCAAATATGTGCTCAAGTGAACAATAGCACTGGCTTGAATACATAACACTTAGTAGTTAGCTGCTTGAATTTCCTTTAAGGCTTTTTGAGACCAACTTGTTTACAACTTCAAAAGTAAAGGCAGTAGCATTCTCTTTTTGGAGGTTCTCTTCCTTGCTTGCTTAATCAGTTGGTTCATCCTTGTGTAATTTTCTCACCCAGCACCATCCATTCCACACTGTAAAAACTTAAAAGGGATTTAACTTTAAATGGTAATTTATAATGTTCAAGTAAAGTACTTGGAGAATGTAGGCAAGCACAGTAAATACATATTTGTGCGAACGTTCTACTGCACGTTTTTTCACTGCATTTCTCTTATGACTTCACAATGATTCCTATGTCATGCCAAATGGTCTTGGAAATGCTAAACTGGGGAATTTACTATGTTTTGTTATGTTTGAAATACCAATAAAATAGTGTCATTTCTGGAAAGTAATTGCAAGTGTTCTCCTTTAGCATGTCCAATGGCATTGAAATACTAATTGTGAGATTAGACCATCTATTTAATCTGTGAAGTTTCTTTGTAGGCGCAGCATAGTTCCAAAAATAAGAAAGGGAAGATCTCAGAGCAGATGAAGTATTGCATTAATCTCATCAAGGAATTGTTTGCCAAGAAGCATGCTGTAAGTTACTCGAATTTTATTAAATTTGAATTCATGTCCTAATATTCATTGCAATAATGCAAAGACTAAGCAATGAAAGTTTTGTAGTAATACCTCTAAAAAGTTATTCATGACTGGTATTGCACAACATCAATGTCATCAAGTTTGAACTATATTTCAGGGCACAACTGTACTTTACTATACTGTACAACTGAGTTGAGTGAACTGTAGTCTTAATTAGGAGAAAGTGTTGTGAACAGAATTATGCATGGAGTTCAATTTAGTCTTTAATTGTGAAGAATATATCTTGCATGTACACTTTCTTTTACAGACTTATGCCTGGCCATTCTACAAGCCAGTAGATGCAGATTCACTTGAACTTCATGATTACCATGATATCATTAAAAAGCCCATGGACCTTGGCAGTGTGAAGGTATGTTTTCATCATAACCTGTCTGCTAGGATTGATACATTCGTAACTACTCATGTCATTCTGGCAAGCCGGATGGCATCTCGTACCTCTCTCGTGGCCATGTTTACGACACGGCCCTGTCTTAAGCACAAACGGGCATGGAGATGGAAATGGTCTAGTACAATTACCAAGGAAATATAACTCTGAATTTCCAGACATTGCTCCTAGAATATCCTCTATCAAAACAGTCATACAGTCATTCCTTTTGTAAATATGTTTTAGTGTTGAAAGTTGCTGATCCTTTAGTTTGAAGTTTATGTTTAAATTGTACTTTGCAAAGTTTCTAAGTTCAACGATGCCGCCATTTTCATGCTTCGAAAAGGCGTTTTACTACTCGTGATTTGGTTTGCCACGATTCTTGGCAATAATGGCATACATAGATTATTACATGAGCAAGTGTGTCATACAGTATATATGAAACTAGTGTGAAATTTTGTATTGCTAGGGCAATGCATAATTTTGCATGAGTTCCGTATAAATCACGTGGCACACTTGAGAGTGTTATAATTGTTTTATTACCCATTTTATTCATGTACATTTGTGCAGTAAAACACAGAAAGCAAGTGTGATGGCCCTCTTGATGTCATGTTCAATTGTCTAATGACACCACAGACGAAATACAGAAACAATGGTTGCTAGGCAAAAGTGATCTAGTGCACATATTGAAAATATGACATAACTTATGTTCCACCATATGGATAATATGATAGGGGTACGAAGTCTTTTTGTAGGTCACGGAAAGAAAGTAAATACGAATGGGATTGATACTCACGATACTGATTAGTTGTTATGTTCAGACAAGCTACTGGAATAATGCAGTGTTCTGAACGATAGTCCAGTGAGGATTTTGTGTTCTTGAATGTATGAGTTAGTGTGCTGATCCAATATCCTATAGCATTGATAATGCTGATCCAATATCCTATAGCATTGATAATGCTGATCCAATATCCTATAGCATTGATAATGCTGATCCAATATCCTATAGCATTGATAATGCTGATCCAATATCCTATAGCATTGATAATGCTGATCCAATATCCTATAGCATTGATAATGCTGATCCAATATCCTATAGCATTGATAAAAAATATTACTGCTGTAGTGTTGCATACAGTTGATAGTGATTGAAACATTAGACCTATCATTGTCAAAACGAGACTTGTAAATTGTTTCTTGCAGAGGAAACTAGAGAATCGTGAATACCGTACGCCAACAGAGATGGCAGAAGATGTGCGGTTGATCTTCACTAACTGTTATAGGTACAATTCAGGAGACAGTGATGTGGTGCAGATGGCAAGGAAACTTCAGGTATTGCCTGTTTTATATTTTTATATATGCGTTCAGTAAAATTTTTCAGGCCAGAACCTGTTACAGAACTGGGTTCAGCAGCTTCAAGTACCAGTTTGTTGTTGAACCTGTAGCCATCACATGTTATGCTATCTGTAAATTTAGCAAAGTCAAGTCTCCACTATATTGCTTTAGTAGTTCACTTCATGGAAACAAAGGGCGGTGGGGTAGCCTAGTGGTTAAAGCGTTGACTCGTCACGCCGAAGACCCGGGTTCGATTCCCCACATGGGCGCAATGTGTGAAGCCCATTTCTGGTGTCCCCGGCCGTGATATTGCTGGAATATTGCTAAAAGCGGCGTAAAACTAAACTCAGTCAGTCAGTCATGGAAACAAATATAACAATATCATTTGTTAAGACATAAATATTGTTGCAGTCTTTGATGTATTAAAATATTATAAATGCTTCCTCTGCAGGATGCATTTGAGATGAAGTATGCCAAAATGCCTGATGAACCACTCCCGCCTGAACCAACGCCCCCACCCTCTGTGCCAATGGTGGCTCCCAAAACTGAGTCTCGCACCAGTGATCTCTCTTCCAGCAGTGATAGTGATGATAGTGATGTTGATGATGACAGCGAGGAGGAGAGAGAGCGAAAGCTGAAGGAGTTGCAGGAACAGGTATGTTCCAATGGTTAAAATATGCAACTGCTTGAGTAGGTAATTGCAGATATATTGAAACAGTGGCTTTAAATTTTGTTCAATCTTGTAAACTTGGTACAAGAATCAGTACATATTTATGGGGTATGGATTTCATTTGATCAGTGTAAACTGGTGTTGTTGCTCACTAGATTTTATACTGTATTTTTGTGATTTTATTCCAGTTTCAAACAATACAAGAGCAGTTGTCCAAGTTAACAAAAGAACATATGAACAAGTTAAAGGAGAAGAGAGAAAAGAAGAAGAAAAAGAAACGAAGCAAGGAAAAAGAAGTTGAAAAGGACAAACTTGTTGAACCTCCTGTTCTCCCCACTCCCCCTCCTGTACCGAGTGCACCCAGGATTTCGCTGGATCCTCCCAAACCAAAGAAAAAATCCAAACAGAAGTCTCCAAGTTCTAAACGATCAAGGACTAACAGTCGGTCCTCAACTAGGAGGAAAATGCCGGTGGTGGTGCCATCCGCAGGACCAATCCTGCCTTCATACGATAGTGACGATGAAGACAATGCTAAGCCAATGACTTACGATGAAAAGAGACAGCTGAGTTTAGACATTAACAAGCTGCCAGGTAAGATACCAACAGTGATCAGCAGCTTGAGTTGTAGGTGTGCTGAGTGAGTGTGGCTGCATTTCATGTGGAAAAGTGCTACAGGAATTTCACGGAGGATTCATGTGTGTTCACAATTGGATTATCACAAACGGGAAACATGATGTAGTGTTTGAAATTGTTCTAGCTCTTGTGGTACAATATTCATTGGCAAGAACTCATCAGTTGTGAGGAGTGACCTCTTCGCAAAATATGTTCATGCCTTTTAAACTGCGTATATTATCTGCAAGTTTTAAAGCATAGGAAGACAGATTTTTATTTTAATTTGTAAAACTGAGCTAATGTCGTCAAATATATAGCTCTGTTAGATGAGTTTTTGTTTTCATTATTTTCCTGTTATATTGATAACATAGAGATAAGCCAAATCTTTTGGGTGAAATTTAAGTGTTAAATGGTTTGTCATTGCCAAAGGAATATCTTGTGTCTGGAATGGTGTGATGCTTTAATAAAGATAAGCACTTGTAACAAGGCAGTTTATAATATCCTTCAAGCAAGTGTACGAGGTGAAATTTTGAACTTATTTGGAAGACTAAAGTAATTTGTGATCTCAGATATTGTGGTGTGAGAAATTCCAGCTTTTCTACTTTAAAACACAAAACTTTTAATTGCAGGTGATAAGCTTGGTCGTGTGGTGCATATTATACAGTCAAGAGAGCCGTCCTTGCGAGATTCCAATCCTGATGAGATAGAAATAGACTTTGAAACATTAAAACCTTCAACTCTAAGGGAACTGGAAGCATATGTAATGTCATGTTTAAAGAAAAAGCCTCGGAAGCCATATTGTAAGTATCACTATGTGCCTTCCTTCTAGTTAAATTAAGTCTGTGTATTCACATTAACTTGAGTTTGCTGTTAATAGAAATGGACTCTTAACAGTAGTAGTTGTAACTGTAATACCTGGGAAGTCTAATGCAGCCTAAAGAAACATAAGTTGGATGTAATATTGACATGAACCCAACAAACCTCCAGGGCAAGGGACATAGTCCTAGACAGTGATTGATCTCATAATCATTGGAGGTAAAATCAATCCCATGTTAATCCCAGCCAAGTCAGTGTTGATCAGGCTGTTTCATGCCATGGGAACATACACATAGAATAAAATCAGTTCTAATTTAGTTGCTGGCAACTCTATGGTTTTGATTACCATACAGTTGTAGTAATGTCAGTGGCATGATGGTTAAATGAAACTCTTGTAGTACACATACTGCTACAAGTGATGTTTTGTTTCTTCAGCCAAGAAGACCTCGGGTAAGACAAAAGAGGATCTGCAGCGGGAAAAGCAGATGGAGTTGGAAATCCGATTGCAAGGCGTACAACAGCAGCTGGCCGGAGGCAAGAAACCAGCCAGTAAGCAAAATAATTACTGACCTATATGCTAAGGAAACATTACCCTTGTACTTTAATACTGGGGACAGAACATGAAATTATATTGTACAGCCATTGTTATTTCAACATTTTATGCCTGAGGTTGTCATGAAGTTCTTGATGGAGCTTTTTGTAATAAGTAATATGATGACATCATGCGTGTCATTTGAATGCCTTGCGATGTTGTCTTCCAAAGTTTAGCCAGAGTTTTTCTGGTTAGACGGAGGTGGACTTCGTAAGCAGAGCAGAAATGAGTTTCAATTTGAGGTCTGATTACTTACATGAAGCCTGCCAAACATCCTTCCTAGACCACTGATAGGGCTGGGTCTTAACATGCATACTATATACTGGAGGTTCACTTCCTTCTGTTCAAAGAAATATTTTATGAGATGTAAATTTCCCGAAGAACTTCATCTTAAATGAGATCAATCTTAACATTTTGGGCACATTCAGCAGCTTCAGAGTCATAGGTTTTCAGCAAAATCAACTGGATATAAGATGCATTCATGTGCATGTTTCAGCTGAACGAGGCAGTGTTGAGGCTGGAGGTGGTCAAAGTCGTCTAAGTGCAAGCAGCAGCAGTTCTTCTGGCAGCGACACAAGCAGCGATAGCAGTTCATCTAGCTCGTCAGAGTCAAGTGACTCAGAATCAGGTTAGCTTGAGTTCCCTGGTGAGCTGATCTTCTATCGACTTCTACTGTAAACTGCAGTTGCTGTTACAGACAAGGTGTTCACAGCACCAGGCACTGGCTAGCGTCACAAGTGGGTCCAGTCAACATGGGCTAGCTGGGTAGCGCTCCAAGGGAGGGGTTTGTATGTGTAACCCTGTGGTCAGTCTACCAGCAGCTAGCCACGTTCTAATGAGTGCTACAAGGCAAATAGCACCCTGCCTGTGAATGGGACTAATGATTGTTGTGTTCAAAGCTGGTGCCCTTTTATTCCCTGAAAGGCACTGTTGTTGAAATCCGAAATGGATGCTACAAGATGTAATTGTTTGTAGGGATGTAAGAGTATCTGGTCTTATCAGGTATGAGGTTACAGGTTAGATTGTTAGCCAACGAGTGCAGAATGTGTGAAGGTTGAGGCCAGTCGCAGAATGGGCTGGTGATCTTGATGCTAGGTAGGAAGGGATGGGTACAATTCATACCAGGGTGGGTAATAGGGTAGTCCGTCTCACTACATTATTAATATGTCTTCACGGACCTCATGGTTGCATAATATTTCTTACTTCACAAAGGTGCTTTGCTAATCTCCACATCATTTACACCAAAGGATCGAGCACAAGGACATTTTGCAGGTGAAATGTACCTAAGGGAAATGAAACATTTGACTCATTTAACTCCGTGACAAATGTTGGAGGAGAATGATCATGTCAACTGGCCTCCCCTGCTACACATCTTTGCACTCCATGGCAAATTGTACATGATCTGAGCGAGATGCATTCCCAGCCATCTGGCCGGACGCATGTAGCTCCGCAAAGAAAATGTACTTCACAAAATTGAAGGTATAATCAAAACAGCTGGAGTTGATCTCCTTTTTGTGTTGGTGCAAGTACCACCAATTTATCAGCCACTGTGCAAATTTTCTGGATCTAATATATACAAAAGCATGCTGTAATGTTAAGAAATTTGAACTGTGTTTTGTGTCGTGGTCATTTCATTACATTTCTGTACTACGGTCTACAAAAGACTTTAGATCATTTTGTATGTGAAGCATTATACATAAGTATTGTACATTTCTCTAATCCAAGTCAGAAATCTGATAACGCATTGTGTACATACGTCAGATCTCATAGTGTCATGTCATCATCATTTTATCATCAATAAAACGAAACAACTATCAAATCTGCATTGTATTTTTATTTCGCAGCTCCTCGGCTGGCCTCATGCTAGATTCGCATTCTGCACTCAGTTGGGACGGGGAGTAGCTCCTAATTTAGTTTCAAATCCAGTCAGTTTTCTTTTCCTCCTGATCAGTTCAAAGTCCATATTTTACAATGTTGGCATATACTCTTATTTCAGAAACAAAGTTTCTTTTCAGCTGGTACTACGTACAAAAGATGTACTGGCACCCATGTTAACAATGCCACCACACTCCAAGCCCACAACATTCACACAATTAAAGATGCATTGTTTGTCTAGTCATTTGTGAAAATTCGGTAAAAATGTGTTCATCCACCCACTGTTAAATTTCTCTACATTTAATTAAATTAGTTTTTGAACCAATGTATCATGGATTGTTTACCAAGCAAGAAAGGATACTAAAGCACTGTCAGAAATAGAAAAAAATTGGGTTTTTTTCACATTAAATCTACAATTTAGGTAGTTAATATGTGAAAGTGTGAAATATCTGTTAAACTAAGTTCGGCCTAACAACAGTTGCAGTGGGAAAGAGATAGGAAACGTAAAAGGATTTTACTGAGGAGAGATTAGTGCAGAAATGAGCAATGCAGGGTTTTTCTAAGTCCAATGCGACTTACTCAGAACAGACCATGGCTTTATGCAATTTAGTGTGCAATGATATTGTATTACAAAGGACACTTTTTAAATGATCATTTTGAAATTAGACTTGGCTTCGTTATAAACGATAGCAGACGTAGTTAATAATAACTTTAATACTGAAACTATTAAGGATGTAGCTACCATGGCGTCTCACTATCACTATAAAAAGAAACGGGTAGGAGGGGTCGTCTCAAAAGCAAAACCAGGATGGGTGTCAGACGGTGGTTGGGGGAACTGAGATGTTAGCTTAGATAAGATAATCAATAGACATATTCAATACACATGAAAAAAACATAAAATATCTTTGAGATGACTCCTTGTGCCTGTGCGCAGCACGTGCATTTCATGCCATGTGAGTCGATGGGCCTGTTTTCAGAGGACATAATTTTTATTGTGGCAAATGAATTTTGAACATACATCAAAAGGTATGTTTCTCCTAAAATTTCTGACCAAACAAAACGGGTCTCTTGCACATGGCTTTGCTGTTACTGAAACTGCTTGATTTCATGTCATTTTGACTGTTTACTTTGGATCCTATCAACAGTGATGGTGGCGAGAATATCTGAACTTCCCTATTCTAACCTCTTCAAAATAAGAATATTTGTCCATTGTTCAAAAGAGTTCTGAATTCCATTTGAGCAGTTTATCTCAAACGTGCATATTTAAATGTTTGATGGACAATCAAATGAAAAATCCAATTGGACGAGTTGCATAGATGGTACAAAATCAAGAATATGAAGCAATAAAATTACGGTCGACCACAGGTTTTTCAACTGAGTTTGCTCTGCACTTGTGCATTTGTAAAAGTAACTGTTCCAAGATTCTTATTCCTAAGACAGGCATGGTTTTGAAGACTTCGGTTTCCAAGTATTTAAGCGTTGGTAATGTGCATCTGAAGTAAGAAACTTGCAAGGGACAGGATGGAAGAGGATAATGACTGGTACATGTGTAAATTGACATTGTGACTTTGATTCCCTACATGGATATCCAGTCTGTATCCAGCTTTTCTTTTCCCCTGATGTAATAGCATGGTCCATCGCCCTGGTGTGGATATTGAAAATGGTTGTTTCAAAACCATGACACACATGTTAAAATGAGAGAAACATTTTGGCTCATTTCTGGTACCTTTCCAGTACATCTTAAGAACTGAATGATTAGTTCCTTGGAAAGTCTATAATGTGATCCTTTCCTATGTTGATGTACAGTTTGAAATGGCCAAAGTGGCTGAAAAGTGATCTAACTGGAACTACTGGAGATGAAGCAAGATGAAATATATTCAACCCTTGTCTTATGCACATGGTATAATACCCAGTACACTGCAAAAGGTTTGCAGTTTGATGATCAGCCATTTTCCCATACATCGATTGCAATGGAAAGTCAGGTTGCAAATGGACCAGAAAGCAGATGCCTCCTTCCACCCCTATGACATTTATCATCACAGTCCACAAAAAACCCACTTCATTAAGGCATTTCCTTTTTCCTGTGGTCTTGATTCAGTTTTCACCCTTGTACTTTTGCTCTCATGAGTAGAAAAAAAATCCAATATCATCTACCAAATGTTTCAAGGTTGCAACAAGGGTTGATGGATCCTCATAGAAACCAAGTTGAAGAAATATTGTTTTGGAGTGGTCAGTTAGTGAAAATCTTTCCACAGACAGAAGATACTGGATTTCGAACATTAATTTTCTGTTCATAGAAAACTGACAAGACATATTGCACACATGGTACAATAAAAGTTCTTATCTACCAACAGCTTTGTAAATATTTGGGCATTGGAACAAATTCAGAATCAGGATGGGATGTCAATGAAAAATGTCAGCTTGTTTTTGCTCTTTATTATAATAAAACAGCATTTAGTCCAGTCTTGTGGAAGAGGTTCAACATTTGTTGGCACATTTACTGTTGGGACAATTTTCATTGTCACTACTGGGGCGGTGGGGTAGCCTAATGGTTAAAGGTTTGGCTCGTCACGCCGAAGACCCGGGTTTCGAATCCCCACATGGGCACAATGTGTGAAGCCCATTTCTGGTGTCCCCTGCCGTGATGTTGCTGGAATATTGCTAAAAGCGGCGTAAAACCAAACTCTATCAGTTCATTGTCACTGGTTATCTTAAGGAAATTGCTCTTTTCCACATGTTAAGGTAAATGTGGTATCTTTGTATTATTGTTTCCATACTTAAAAGCTGAAAATGTTCAATCTGATTTCCTACAAGTTGAGATTTTGGTATGATAACGCAGTATCGATAGTGGCCCAAAAAGGAAGCCTCATGGTTTGATATGCCCAACACAAATGCAGTAAGTGTCTGAAGTCATTCATGTTGGTTTCCACCACATGGAGGTTGAAATGTTGCCGAAACAAATGTACACTCACAAGCATACAGTAATGAGAGAATAAATGTGCCGTTCAACATTCATCAGTATAGGCTGCAAGAACAAGATGAGTGAGTGATGGTCTTCCGAAGTATGAAATTAACAAAACAACGACCAGTAATTCTATCATCAAGCCCACATACACTACCAATCAGGTCAGGTAGCACATACTACATATTAACCACCCATACTTCTTTTTTATCTTTTCTTCTTCTTTTTTTAAATTGTCTAGGTTGGTTTGTTTTGGGAATTTTTTATAGTCTGGGGTGCCCGTCACCCTGGAACAGGGAATGTTTCACACTGGACCATGTTTGTTAGAAGTGCCGTTTTACTTACTGCTTGTTTGAACTGATCAGTATATTTCATAGGGTGGATATGATTATTTATCTTGTTTTGTGAGAGCTGATCAGACACATTGCTACATATCAGTACTTCAGATGTTCAGACTGAATCCAAAACCTGAATACCCATTCATAGGCATGTATTTACTCCCAGGATGTAGCAGAGATGCCAGCTACTCTGATTTTCAAATACAAAATCTGCTCTCCGATTTCTCTTTTTAAAAAACTCCCGATTTTTTAGAAAAAATTCTGAATGTATTTTTACGGTATGTTTGAGAGAACACTGGTAAAAGCATTCAGAAGCTTAGCATGTGATCCTTTGGGTGTCGATTGTGTTATTGAAAATGAAGTTTTACAAAGTGTTTCCCGAATGCATGTCATAGTCGGTATGAAAGCGAAACAAAATGGAAAAGCTGACCAAGCGCTCACCCCCAACTCACACCTTTGGTGCTCAGGCCTGGCTTTCAGTCAGTCATGACTCCTGTTTTTGTCCTCATTCAACATGAGCTAAAATACCATAAATGGGATGAGTAGGATTACCATGACAATTAGTGAATGTAAGTTCAGGCATCTTTTTGGTATCCTTAATATCTGGGGTTCAATATTAGCATAAGCCTGTTCACCTGATACAAGCAAAGCCAGGAAGGACTGTAATGATTTCATTGGCAGCAACTATTTCTTCATGGATTTGGTGCAACTGAAGCTAATCGTTATTGTCCACTGCTGAATATGAATTTCTGTTAAAACGTCAGGGATTTGACTTGACTGATTTGGCGTCTATTTTTGGGTGGTCTTTTTTTGTATGTGATGCAGATGTCTATTTTGTTTTGGAATTTGAACAGGGCTTTTTTGTTCTTTGGGAATTCCTTTTATTGGGAAATTTGAAAAAAACCATTATCAACATTTTTGAAATTGTAAATCTGTTTTTTTCAAGCCTGGGAAAGGGAAGCCCTATGTTCAAGATCATCTCAGATATATTTTTAATCTTAAGATGAATCATTGCCATTTCAGAAAAGACTCCTCGAAAGTTGAAGCCAATCCCGCCACGGCCCGAGTTTCCCCCAGGAAGCCCTGGACGTTCCCCACCAGTGAAGATAATGTTGGGAGGCAACACTCCAGTTGTTGTGTCATCACCGCCACCACCCTCACCACTTAATGCTCCCTTCACCCGTCATTTCCTCCTCCTCAAGCTGCAGCTGTGACTGCAGCACATGCTGCTGCTGCCGCTGCTGTTGCTGCTACTGCACAGCCCAGTCTTCCTACACCAGTCATTCAGCACAAGCCACTGTCTCCTGCAAGAGGTGAGGATGGCATGGAAATATCTCATCAAAACATTTTTGAAACATTGCCACAAGCTGTATGGGAAGTCTGTCTTCCACATGCACGAGGCAGTTGTGTTTGGGTTTTTTAACCAAACATGGCGCTGGTGTGCTTCAGCAGCCTTGTTTTTCGCTGTTGTTGACAAAGTTTTCTTTCACTCAAACTCAACAGATATTGAATCGGTTGCTTCACTGCATGTTCTAACATGTCGTTAAAGTGCACTTTATGCACACAAAAAGTTGCATTTACCTTAGAATATAAATGACCTCACCGCTTTTAAGTTTATATATGTCTATCAAATGTTAGGGTGTTCCCATTTGTGTTTGTAGTATACATGGGATGATTGATTTACATCACTTTCCCATAACCAATACTGGTCCTTAGAGGCAACTTGACTGTCTGGCTCAGTTGTCATCGAACCTCAACGTAATGGATCTTTTCTCATGTCCATCACAGAATTGTGTGATTCAGACTTTTAGGCATAGTTAAATAAATATTATCGATTAATTCATGTTTTGTGAATGTGACTGGAATGGCTATTAAATCATATCTGTAGTAATATGTTCATTCATCCTGTATTCTTATCAAGTGTCTCATTTTGATACAATCTGAACACTTGGATGAAAACTTAATCGGTGGTATTTACCTTTTATGTATTTCAGCCCCAAAGCCTGTAACTCACACACACATGCCTCAACAGCCAAGTCGACCCACGGCAATGGCCACAGCCAAGCCACAGGTGAAGAATACCAGTAAGTCAGCACAGGAAAATCTTCCCATTTTGTCAACTTTCCTAATGCCAGACCAGTTTTATTTCTTGTTTTACGGATCCGCCAGTCATATTTTTTCAAGAATAAGAAAAGAAAAGAAAAAATTCCCCACTCAAAAATGAATTTCGTAATGTTTTCTTTGGCCAAAAATGTAATCATACAAGAAATTTTGTTTTTAGATTGATTTTTGCCCCATATACACTTCATAAATTGCCAAAAGTAACATACTTTGAGTATTTGGAAGGAATATTACTTTGACTCGTGATTTTATTTTATTTATATATTTTTTTTCCCCTCCTGCCTTTAGGTTTTCTGAGGAAAATCTGTAAAACAAGAAATAAAATTGGTCTGGCCTAAACAATAATGTACCTGTTTTCTTGACAGAAGGCTTTGTTCGATCAGTACAGATTCTTTTCTGGGGTATTGGTTGTATCTGGGAAGTGCCAGCTTATCATTGCCTCTCAGCAGAGACTAAATATATACTTAGTTACTCATAATGGGAATCTTGCATTGATACTGAAGGCTTGTGCAGATATGTCAAATTGTATGTATCTTCAACACTAACACAGTCCTTGTTTGCTTTTTCAAGAAACGGGGCGGTGGGGTAGCCTAGTGGTTAAAGCGTTGGCTCGTCACGCCAAAGACCCGGATTCGAATCCCCACATGAGTAAAATGTGTGAAGCCCATTTGTTGCTGGAATATTGCTAAAAGCGGCGTAAAACCAAACTCAGTCAGTCAGTCAGTTTTAAAGAAACACCCAGTAACACATTTGAATGATTAGTTCCAGTGACGCCAAGTCTCCCGGTCAGTAAACCTCCTTCCATGTCACCACAAGTGGAGGTGACGTCACCACCAAAGATGCCACTCGAAGTCAGAAGAACCTCTCCCAGAATCCAGTCGCCACCTGATGACATATCCAAACTATTCCCTTGTGACGATGAGCCTGAGAGCCCCAAACCCAGTCCGAAGCCAGCCCCTCCTGGGGCCACCATTTGTAAGCAATAATTACAACAATCTAGTATTTAGGTGGTGCATGGCAGACCACTTGTATATATCGTTGAAGTCTCTTTTTACTTCTTGGAAAACAGATTTTAGTGAACAAGTTTTTATTGGTAACAATATGTTTATCTCTCTTCCCTGGATAACCTTCTGTTTTAGATACAGCCTTTAAGAAATAAGTGTACAAAATTGTCATGCACATTTTGTTTATTGTTAAATGCAATGTGAGTTAAGCTAATTGGTATTAGAATGACTATCTAAAGCCTTTAATTTGAGAAAAGAAACCTTGGAAGTCTTGGATTTCTGGACTCAATCCGTATTTTGGGAAATTTTGCTCAAAAGTTTGGTTAGTTTCTCAAAGTATAACATCATACTTCATTATACATCTCAAGGGTGGGTTCCTGCTAGGGGTGAAACGGTATACGCGGTATTAGTAGAACCGCGGTATTTTGCCTTCGGTTCGGTATATCGTAATGCAATCCAAAAATTCGTTTTTCGTACCGTCATTTTATTAATCATTTTAAACCTTTTCTAAAATGTCTAGAAATCGAATCTTTTGGTCAAAATCTATGCATTTCTTTGCTTGGTGGCCGCTATTTTCTTGGAAGAAAATGAGCAAGACAGCAACTGCAGATACCAAATCAATAGCTGAGTTCTGTTTCTTTTTCTGTTATTTCAAATCAGACGAACAGCGCAATAACTTATTAAAGTCAACTTTATCATAAATACACGCCATCAGCCGAGTACTTACGGTGTTTGCTGTGATTCAACACACCGCGTTATTGCGGGGGTAAACACTGCCATCCGAAAACGTATGATGTCAGAAAACTCATAATAAAACGATCTTCCTCGATTTCATTGTATTTGATTAAATTTAATCCCATTTTCATATATTAAAACTGTTTACAGTAACATCCTTGAAAACGGGTATGAAATGACATCACCTCATTCTATATTCGTACAACTTCTGCTTACCTTGTTCATAAGGGTCCGCTTTTCGGGCCTACCACGATAGCACCAATTTCTCATTATTTTCAGCAATCACGAACAGATTACCGCCTTGTCATCCATGGACCCCAAGACCCGTGTTATTGACTCATTGAAGTCATATTCACAATTAATTGCCAACATTTTGTTTTAAAATCAAAGTGGCAGGTACTGCGGGAAGTCAACAGTGACTTGTCAACCTGTCTCATACGTAAAATGTATCCAGCCACGTTGCCCAAAGTGCTGAACCTATGTTAATTAATATATTAAATACGTTCTTAGAAAACAAGCATAATACTAATACCATAGCGATAATATATATATATATATATATATATATATATACGCACATAAAATGTCCAAAATAGTACAGGTGTTCAGTCATAAATATTACATAGATAAATAAAAACTGAATGCCTTTTTCTCCAACATGTTTCGTTCTTGACTCTTCAGGGAGATTGTAGCGGTTACAGTATGACGTCATTACATATATATTGTGACGTCCAATAGGGACAGCATTCTAGAGCGACAAGGTCACAGCTTGCAATGGTTTAACATTGGTTTGAGCTTGTCTATGAAGTAGTACAAATAACAAATAAAGTGTCCTGAAACCCGATGTATCCCACTGAGTGAACATCTAGATGTCTGTGCGAAAGGAAACGATGTTAAATTTACAATATTTCCTTTTTATCAAGTTCAAAATTCGGACAAAGTAAAACGAATTTTAAAAGAACACTACTTCATAGACAAGTTCAAACCAATGTTAAACCATTGCAATTCTGGAATGTGTCAAGATTGTGTAGCAGTACTTCCCAAGGACTGTGGAAAGTCTCTAAATGTTTAACTGACTGAAACGAGAGATAGGCAATGATTTAGAGCAAGGACAATGATCTGTCACACAGAATGTAACTTTCATATGACAACTGTATTGAGTTAATTTGTTTAATTTATTTATCTGTGATATGTCATCAACAGAGTCACATTCGACAAGATCTGATTTGTATATTGTTTTTAGTGTTGTTTAAACCTGAACATTTCTGGGACATGGTGATTTCACCGCAGTAAATGCTGATTTGATTTTAGTGACTTTTAATCATACTTGGCTACTTACTATTTTGCCACACAGCTATGAGCTCCAAGATTCCAGTGATACTTTAGTTCTTCTATCTGTCATGAAATCACAGTTTTGTTCATTCAAAATAACAAAGTTTATGGCTCTTGTAAATTTTCTGCATTATGTTCATATCTCATATACCGAACCGAAACGGACCGAACCGAAGGCTTTGTACCGCAATACGTACTGTACCGTGGTAAGAGCATACCGTTTCACCCCTAGTTCCTGTTTGGAGAGGTTTTTGGCTAAAGTTAGTAACATTGGTAGCCAGTGAGGTTTTTCTTAAACAGGGTTAGCTAATTGTCGGAGTAGTTCTTTTTAATAGCTGCGGTATTGTTGGAGTTCAGCTAAGAGTTGCCTCTTCAGCCATGTAATTGTACTCTTGCTTGTATCTTTTACAATTGATCTACCTAAAGTTGGTGTTCTGCCTATCAAAGTTCTTGGTCATGTTTCTTGCTGTTAAGTATGTGTTTACAATGTAGCATTGTGTTGTTGTTGGATCTCTTAAAGGGTTTTGTTAAGATTTGAAATTCACGTTTTTGGACTGATTGTATAGTTGTGTTGAGTTAAAGATTTAATGCTATAGTGATGCTGAGACAAGTTTGTTTTTTCTAATACATGCATGTTAGTAGTAGCACAGGACATTATGCAGTATTGTTTGGGTTTTAGCAAGATTGCTACAGGCTGTTGCAGTTTTTCTGTAATACTGCTGAATATGGTGACAAGCATTCCATGTATTGCAGTGTTAAAAGTTAGCCTAAAAATCTGTCATGTCTGATCCACAATATCGCTAAAGGACTTCTTTCAAAGAAGACTGAAATTATTTCTACATTTCTATTTTACACTTGATAAACTAACTGAGGCTCGCATTTTGGTACAATTCCTGTAAGTGGCAGACTTTTGTAGCAAACATTATTTCTTCGGCAGCTGCTCACGGTGTAGGCATAGCCTATGGATCAGGATCTGCGATGTTGTCCCAGCCTTCACCCATCGAGCTTCAGAAGGAGCCAAAGATGCATATGCCGTCCCATGCCGCTGCAGCAGCAGCAGCAGCAGCTGCCGCCGCGGCCGCTTCCAAACAGAAACAGAATGTGGTGAGTTATTCTCATTCAGCGCAACATTTAGAGCTTTAGTTCAGGAAAAGGTTTGCGTCTTTTGTGACTGATGGCTTTTGCATTATCAAATTGTATTGTATGCAGCTTTTGACATTGATCATGTTTACTAAAGACTGTAAACTATTGATCATGTGTACTTATGTCATCAATTCATGAAATGCAGCTTTGTTTTAGAGAACAAAGGTAAAAAATAGCAGGAATGTGACAGACAGTAGACCAGTGAAAACAAATCCTATATCGAGGACATTTGTTGCCTGTGTTGTATTTACAGTCAGTGTGTCATCTTCAGTGTTAATGTTTTAGTTGAAGAATGCCGGCTCCTGGTCAAGCATTGCCATGTCCAACTCTTCACACAATATGGCAAGGAAACCTGCTGCTGTGAACAGCTTTGAACACTTCCGTAAACAAGCCAAGGAGAAAGAAGAGCGGGTATGTTTCAAATTTGTTTCAGCTGTAATGACTAATCTTTATCATACTTATGGTATGATTCAAAGCAGGCTGAAAAATACAGAGAATTTGACAAAATTGTTCTCAGAATTAATGAGATCTGGGATAAGTACTAAATTTTGATCATGGAATCCCATACAATCTTCATGAGTGATTAATATAGATCTTACAGATTGATAATCATTAACTAAATATCGACTGATAAGCGATAAATGTTAGTGAAGTAGATTTGAGCAAAAAATGAGAGAAAGTTTGAAACAAATTATATTTCACATCACTTGGGTTATGTGACATATTTATGCATGCATTACTCATAAAACAGACAGCGCTACAAGAATCTGTACTGAAATGTCGCACTCACAAAATAAAAGAAGTTGTTATCCATAATTTTGAACATAATTTAGAAGCAGCTGATAATTATAGATGTAGCTTTGTGTATTGTAGGAGTGAAATAACACTATTTTTCATCACAATAGTTTATGTACAATATTATTGACAAGTTTTACATCAATAAAAGAGGGATAACTAGGCAGAACTGTCTTTTTGCAGCCTGCTGATATTCTAAGCTCCTGAAAATTCTTGGTTGTATGTTGATGTACTTTCTGTTGCAGGAACGAGCATTGCAAACCCAACTGCTTCATCGTCAACAGGTGAAGGAGAAGGCTGAGAGGGAACGTCAGCGTCAGGAACGTGAGCGACAGAGAGAGCGGGACGAGGAGGAGGCCCTTGAGCAGGCCAAACAGGCCCAGCAGGCCCAGGCTCAGGCCCACCATGCTGAGATCATCCGTCAGCGTGAGGTGGAGCAGATCAACAAGCAGAAAGAACGCGAAAGGATGCGGGAACAAGAGCGTAGACGCAGAGAGGCGGTAAGTTGGCATATGGCATGTCACGGGGGGATGATGGGACACACATACTGTGGGAAGGGAGTCCTGTTAAGATGATTACGTTATCTGTAGCAAGTTGGCTATGAGATGATTCCATACAGAACAGATACTTTAAAGGTAAAAATATATGTGTACTTAGGACACTTTCCAACTGATATTATTATCTCGGTTAAAGTGTTCACTGGTTACACCAAAGACTTGGGTTTGATTATCACGAAAGGTACAATGTGTGAAGCCCAGTTCCAGGGGCATAGCTACCATTATAAAAAAAAAAGCCCGGGCTTACACATGGTTGTTGCTAAAAGGTTGGGCAAGCGCTCAATACTATCTAAATATGAAGCTTTGCAACCTATCGGGCTTACACGAAAAAAATGGCTTGCTAGGCGCCTGATTTCTAGTGTCTCGCAGTGACATTGCCTACAGCAGTGTAAAACCTTATTCACTTCAGAATATTTAATCAAATCAAATTCAGTTATTTTAACCGTAACGCTCATCATGAGGTGTTTCCTTGATAATTATTGTAATCATGCTTTTCATACAATGCATCTCACGTTTCATTTCAGTTGGCCAACCGTATCGATATGAACGAACAGAGTGAACTGATGGCATCCTTTGAGGAAATGTTATAGTGACTCCCACTCTGTGGAGCGTGTTGCCTATTTGCTTGAGAGTACCTTCTGATAGTGCCAGCAGGCGCCGAGCTCATGGTGGAGAGGAGGGCTGGCAGCCCTCCCACCTTGAAGCAGTCAACGGGCCTCGCACAATGAGGACGACCTGAAAAATCAGGGAAAGTTTATCCTCGTTCTGACGTCGGAGCAGAGATCTGGACATACACATGGTTCACCATAGCCTTGTTTCTCCATATCAGACTATTTATACAGAAAAGCGTCAGTTGATTTGACTGAAAGACAATCTGTTAGGAAATGTGACAATACAAACAAAGCGGAAATATCTGCATTTTCAGACAGGTTCAGTGAAAGCAGAATTTTCAAAATGTTCAATGCAAAGTGACCCTGGTCACATGAAACGGAATCCTGATTGTTTTTATTATTGCTTGAGATTGTAAGTTGGGGTCCAGTTATGTGATTCTATTTCATCGATCCAGTTGACATCTAAAAAGTCAGAGTAAGGTTTCTTGAGCACGTCGTAATGATGCCACAACAAGCCATCCTCACAGAACGAATGGCGCAGTGTTATGCTGTTCATGTGAAGATGTAGGTGTGGTGATCCGACCTATTGCCAGCTTGGATGTAAAGACAGATTAATTTCTCAGGAACTGTACAGAGCATGTTATGCAAGCCGGCTGGCGTCCATCCTCCTCCACAGGGGCTCAGCTTCATTTGCAACCTAAGCACTTTAAAGTTCAAATGATCACCTGTTGTATATAGGCATTCATTCTCATGCCCTTTCTAGCAATAACTGTTCACTGTGAAGTATTAGTGATTTACCTATGGCCAAGGACTGGTCTATTGTGTTTGTGCATGCCAGGTGTTCTTTGTGTGATTGTTGTCATTGTTTCCATGGCAACTGGTCAGCTGTATGTGACCTGCAATGTGTCAGCGTGGTAAGGTCAGCTGTCTCAGATTGTACAAGCTGTGTAGCCATGGCCAGTGCATGTGCAGTCCCAGTGTAGCTGAAGTAGCTAGCCACAATGTGTTCTAGTCACAATGCCGCATAATCCATATTGTGCAGTAGGACTGTAACAATACAGGGGGGCTCGTTACAATGTATATTTAGTGCAAATGGGGGCAGTACAATGCGTAATGCATTGCACCACCACAAGAGTTTTTGTTAGATACAAAGCACAGGTTTGGGATCTTTATCATGAAATATTACATTTCTGATATTCGTTGCACTGTAAAATGCCTGTATGTAAATGTGTTGTATCTCAATACAATACTGTATCGTTACAACCCTTATGCAAAGTTAAAAAAATAAGTCAAATTTATATAGTCTGGAATCCAGAGCCCCACATATATTATGCACAGTGTATAGTATAAATTGTAGCAAATAGACTGTTTAGTATGAGCATGTTACAAAATATGAGCTTCATTATTTTGAAGTGAATTTCTTGAAAGGCTATTATTATGCTTCATATTATCTGCAAAGTCACAGGAATAATCATTTCTCCAATCCACATTGTAAACAAGAATGAACACACATTTGGTTTGACATGAAGGCCTTATAAGAAATATCTACATACTATCTGGCATTTCATTGTCTACTCAGGTTGCAAAATGCTATTTCTTTGAGAAATACTTGCTTGTAACACATTCACCTCTGAACTATGGTATACAATGGGTCAGATGGGTGAATTCTCGCTCTTAGATTCAAGAAACAAGGGAATTGTTTTATGTCTTGGGTGGGGGGTGGTAATAACATACTGGTTGAGATGTGACATGCACTAGCCAGTTTTCTGTTATTTTCCTTCAGACATCACATAACATTCAGGTTGGTGCTAATGTCATCATTTTTCTAGCAGTATTAAATGTTTTCTCTTTTGCCCCCTTTTCCTAATATCTTAAAGAGTACATACTGCCTCCATCTCGGGGCAGTTTGCACTGCCGACAATGCCCGTGTCCAGTTGTCCCGTGTCCTAAACCGTTTAATTAGTATGAAAATGTGGCAGTTTTGCTTTATGTCTGTCAATTTCTCAAGCCTAAGGTATGTGTGTGTTCTTTCCAAGTATTCATGTCTAGTGATATGAATATCTGCCCATAGTGAGGAGTATTCTGTACATTTTTGACAAGCTTAATATATTGTATGATCTGGAGTGATCTGATGGATGAATGGGTAGAAGACTGAGGACAAGGCACTCCGATTGTACACCTTATCTCGGAAATAGGTCTATACATTTTCATGTTATCATCAAAAGCCATTTGCTGGCATCATTTTGTACTTAATCTTGTCAATCCAGCTTGGTTTGATCGTTTCATCATAAAAATAGGGTGCTTACATGTTTCATTGTCATCAACAGGATCATTATCTGATACTTTCTTCTTGAGTATGCCATCAAACATGTTTCAGTGACTCACATTTTGTAACATTTCTGTAGATTTGTACTTTTGTTATTTGTGTAGTATGAGAGTAATTGTATCTATATTGTAGGCCTTTACTTTGTGTTCTGTAGATTAGTGTCCAGATGATGCTACCCTTTGGAGTTATGTCCCCTTGAATGTAACTTCTTTTTTCACTTTACTGTTTCCGCATTTACTGATTAAGCTATACCGTAGTAGCAATACACACTTCATTGTAGATTTGGGATTGCCACTTGCATTCAGTTGAGTAAAACATGGTCAAATTGATAAACAGTGGAAGTTTTTAGCTGTACAGTCTTGCCATAGCCACTATAGTATTCTGTGAATGTAAATCTGTATGTTTACAAGTAAGCATTTGTTCCATTTCCACTTCAAATAGGGGACATAACTCTGTATGTGCTAGCACCAATATGGCTGAATGTTGCTTGTGACACGACCATGTGCCAGCCAGACTGAGAAGAGATCACAAAGAAAGTTGCTGTGTGAGAGAAAGAGAGAGAGAAGCTATTGTCCATCAGGTGTATTTAATGATTATTTAACTATTGCTGTTGAGTGTTTCTTCATAGTATGGACGGACAGAGAAACGGGCCTGCATGGAGGGGACCCACCTGTACTGCACAGTTATATTTTTGTTACCTATTGTGTACAGCTCAATAAAACATCATTGTCAGTATTACTTGCTCTTTGTTGGCTTATTTTCTCTCTTTGAATAGTTGCGCTATGCCATAAATACCTAGTTTGACTGTATAACATTAAACTATATTTCTACAGTCTTCTCTGCAATCATCTAATATAGACATTAGCATTAATGAAGCACCAATCTTTTTTTACATAGTAATAAAAAAAACCCTCATGTTATATCATCTATGAAAATTAAATTCCACATAAAATAATAACTCACATATTTTACCGTGGTTAGAATAATAACAACACATTATCATTGGTAACTTGCGGTTCGGAGGAATACTCTAAAACGCGAACATCAACAATATGGTTACATGAGGTTCGCAAATGACCTGTTGCGAATGTATGAACCACATCAGTACCTTGTGTAGCCAACCCTCGCACGCATATCATCTTAGTCTGTTTGCAGTGAAAACGTACCGATGAATTTCACTTTAAACAAGAAAGTAAACCGAAGGAAGTGAAATTAAGATTGCGAATCCTCATAATTTTACCTTGCCAACTGAACATTTAAATATCAGAATTTTATTAAACTTAGGATAAAAGTTGTTGAACAAACTATCATAGTATCAAATCGTTATTATTGGTTTGTATTACAAGGGTGTATGCACAGTAAATGAAACACCGAGAACAAGTAGGGTTGGTCTAAGTTAACGCTCATCACGTACCGCACTTTCACGTTTGTTTCAGTGTTCCAACTACTGCGCTTACCCCCTTGTAATACAACCAATAATAGCGATTTGAATCTATGATCGTTTGTTAAACCACTTTTATCCTAAGATGAATAAAATTCTGAGGTTCATATGTTCAATTGGCAAGGTAAAATTATGAGGATGCGCAATCTTAATTTCACTTTATTTGATTTACTTTCTTGTTTAAAGTGAAATTCATCGGTACGTTTTCACTACAAACAGACTATAGTCTCCTGATACTGGCAATCAAGCGTCGAATTCTCGGCATAGGAACCATCGGCCATTCTTCATAGTGTGTGCCTCCAATTACTGCAGATTTTAAACAACGGGATCCAAGATAGTCCCAAAGATGTTCGATGGCGTTCTGCAAATGGGCAATGATGGCTCAAGGGCAGACGACTGGCAAGAGGGTGTTACAGGAGCGTTGGTGTAGCCTAGTGGTCAAAGCGTTTGCTTGTCACGCCGAATGTCCGGGATCGATTCCCCACATGGGTACATTGTGTGAAGCCCATTTCTGGTGTCCCTCGCCGTGATATTGCTGGCATATTTCTAAATCTGCGTAAAACCAAACTCACACATTCCTGTTGATAACGTTGACCACTGACTGTCCCAGTGTTGTGATCATATACAACTTGCATTCATTCGAAACTCACACCCACACCATCACTGAGCCACCACCAAAGGCTGCATGGATCATCTACTGGCCACATACCTTGTTGCGACGTCTTCATACGCGACAACGGCCGTAGGAAAAGTGCAGAAAAAGGCAACATTCATCAGGCCAATGAACTCTACAACAGTCCTCAAGTTGCAGTTTTCTCCTGCCCGTGTCTTCTAGAACAAGGGACGTCTGCCCGGAGAGACCACAGCCTCTTCCTGATGGTATCGATGGAGAATCAGACTCCCACTCTACATTGCCGGCGCAGTTCTTTGGTATGGGTCATGGGATTGCGTCTTGCCAGACAAAGGAATCAGTCTTCATGGTCATTGGACTTTCCCGGTTTTCCAGGGCTTGAACGAACCTTAACCTATACATGCCTTCTTGGAAGTTGACTAATAACAGTATGGTCAATGTTCAAGTTGCGGCAGAACGTGCGCATACTGCAGTTATGATATTTATACCCCAATGTGATTGACGCCTTCGCAGCAGGTAAATATGCGACCCATATTCTTTTAGATATTTGTGAGAAGCACAGTGTGTGTGCATTGCAGTATGTTTGCTAATACAACAACGCATACGTTAGGCGGGAAAGCGACTCTTCCTACCTGTGAGCTAGTGCTGGGAATTGGTCAAAATCTCATAATTGATGATTGGTTCATTACAACCGATCAACCATCGAAAATAATTGGTTAGCGACATTTATGAAATTTTCCTGATTATTTTTGTTAATGGACAAACAAAATAAAGAAAAAACCCTGTAGTTCTTTGGTGTTTTTGCAAATTGCACAAAAGGCATTGGCAAATTTCACATCTTTAAAGGATGACTAGTAGGTTAGGAAAATTAATTTCTTGGAGTCTTGAAGATTAATTCAACCATGACTTGGAACGAGCTTGTAGTGGTCATGAAATGTAACAGACAAAACCAACCTTGTGAAAAATATTGTTAATGCAAACAAGTGTTCCAGAATTGTTTGTGTTCGATTATGAGAAAACATGATCGATTGCTTGGTCGTTTAGTCACTGCGACCAATCTTCGATTATTTCAATTAATCGGACCACCACTACTGTGAGCCCAGTTGTAAACAAATTTATTTTATGACAACACGGTCGTTTTTGTTATTTCATCCTTTTAAGAACGTCTTTAAAACACGTACATACAAGCTGAGAGCCGAGTTTACTGATTACAGGAGGATTATTAAAGCAAGATCGTCGATGTAGTTATTTTTTAAACGTGCCAAGCCTGCTATCGCCATCCTGCTTATGCTCAATGTGCTGCGTTGAGTGGAGGTACTTCATCCCTCGTGCCAATGTACAATATTATCGGCAAGACATTTGGCGCAATCCATCCAGGAGAGGGAAATATTTCGTTACCCGTCCCACCAGTCTCTGGAAGAATGGAGGGTAAGCACCCCAGGTTAGAAATAGCACGCACAGACCTATCCTAATACATATGTCCCGTTTAACCTGAATATGTTTTCTTCATCCGTGTCAGTAATGATGTTCCAAACTCTTGCATCCTTATTTCATTTGCCACTCATAATACCTTTCAACACAAAGATGCAGGCAGATCAAAATTGAAGAAGTCCAATTATGAAAGGGGATAGAAAGCTTGAGGTTACGATGCATCTGGACCCAAGTCGGGGAACACCCAACATGGCAAAACATCGATCCGTTAGGAGGAGGGGGAAAAATGAACACAAACACCAACATGAAAGCTTACGGCGACAGCACTGACGAGGCTAGCTGTCGTTATCTCTGCCAAACAGAAGCTTTCAGACAAGGGGGTAATCGGCGCATTAAAAGCCTGATAAGACCAAGGAATTCCACTCACCTGTATTCCTGGTTCAGTAGAAACATCCATCCATGCATATAGCACAGCAACAAGGCCACTGAAAGCAAAGAAGACGACTAGTCATCTCATGCAAGCCTTCGTCAGAAAAGGCATTTACCAAGACAGGGAGAATAGAAGACAGTGTAGATTGTCCTTGACCAAGGCAAACGTGGCGGTATGTATCAAAATGGCAATGGCAATGTCAAAGGCCAGGCGTACAGGGATGGCGGTCTACATTTCAGTCCTTGATGTTACTGTTCCCTTGGCAACAGCACATGACAACGATACACACTGCAAAGGGTCGTCCAAGACATTGCGTTCCTCTATGGCAGCAGATTGCTCAACAGAACCCCATCGAACCAAAAATACTCAGAACGGGTTTTTTCCTTAATTTTGGGGGGAATTTTTGTTTGTTTGCCCATTCTTTCATTTTTGTGCAATGGCGCCCCTGCTACGCCTGGCAAGAGCTCCTATTTGTAACAGGGCTTTCTGAAATAAAAAGTTAATTACGAAAGAAGAAAAGAAAAAAAAGAACATCGAACACTTGTGGGATCATCTCGATCGTCATGTCAGGTGGCTTCCTCAACCACCAAAGAACTGTCAACAAATTGTTTTTACAGTTTGTTTTTTTGCCATTAAGAAAGTAAAACTTAGCAAAATATACTTTTCAAACATTCCCAGGAACTATACTTTTATATTTTACAAAAGAAAATCACACAAATCGTCACAACTCATAACCACGATATAGTCAAGTGTGCAAATAACAACTCCATATTCACTCTTTTTACCGACCTGATAATTTTATTTATAAATCCGTAAAACAAAGTAATTAAAAAAGATTTCAAATGACGTCGCATCTGGGCGCGCATTGATGCTGGTGGTGGTCACAATCCTTGTTGCGAATGTCTTGTACATCTGTGGACCATCTCAAAACGTGTCATCACAATACATAATCCAGTCTGCTAAATTACTTTGTACATGTTCAACCCCCTACCCCCACATCACAGCACATTCACTCAAAGAATTTTTCATAGAATTACAATAAATTGTTTGGGTTTAACATCATCAAAACTTAATTGCATTATCACGAAGAGGCAAGAAGAAACAACTCCGTGAAGATCACTAAATATTGCAATATCATGGTGTACCATCCAATTTTTATATAACTTATCTTTTTCGCTTTACGTTACCTGAGACAGTCAATAATGAATATCGCATATGATAAGTAGCCATCACCGCGAATAGCTGCAACATTGCTGATGCGGCGCTTAGCACAGTGTGCAAAATAGCCACTGGCCCGCTAGCCCGTGTCTAGTAAAAATCCAATCGGGCCAGTACATCTCCATAGTCACTGGCCCGACTGGCAAGTGAATTTTCATGGGGTCATTTTGTAAATATATCACTCTCTCAAACTTGTTAATACACTTTTGAATCATGAAATACTTTGGCCTGACACTGTAAATAAAACGTTGTCAATTTGACAATTTTAGCGTTGTCATTAATGCTTTGACAATTATAAGTTGTCAGTTTGAACATTGAGAGTTGTCAGTATGACAACCCATGTTGTTATTGTGACAACATTGCGAGTCTTAAACTGATTGCTTTAAAACAAACATTCATTGGATATGATATTTAGATAGCGTTGACGATCATGTTTATAGTTTAAACACGCGTTTTACACAGGATATGTGTTGACAATAGTTTATTGTCAAAGCATTGTCATATTGTGAGTTTTCTCAAACTTTGACAACACAAAGTTGTCAAACTTGACGGATTGAGCGCATGCGCAGTTCCAATGTCCTTCACAG